TAATTCTCACAACTTTATGAAGTGGTGGTAATATCGTCATCTTCATGTTACAAAAAAACTATAGTCAGTTAACCTGTTGGGAGAAAACGCACATCCATACTAACAGATCTCACCCTAAATGGACGGCAACAAATTTCTACTGGCCACGGTGCCAAGAAAGGCAGTACTGCCTGCTTCCTTGGCGGTTTTGATATTTTACCTCCCGGGACTGCTCACGTCATACCTCCTGTTGCTCTCTTCCTTCACTTGATAACCTCCATTAATGCTTTACTGAGAAGCCAAGAGAACAAGACATCCTGTCTTCCAAGCACCAAACAACTGCCTCTGAACACATCCTCTGTCTTTTTCCTACAGGAAGGAAACTGGATTCCACATCCATCAAAGTCAAGTTCTGTAACGTGCTCTGGATCCTATCTTAACTCAGTCACTCAGGGTCTTTGTTACCTCCCTTCTCTTACAGTATCAATTCCTCTCAATCTACTGGGTTATTCCTGATACCACGGAAGCACCCCATTAACCCTTCTTTGGCACCATATTTCCTCCACTCATCATGTGAGTTCTCAGCTCCCTTTCACAGAACTTTTCCAAAGAACTCCAGTTCTTCCTTTTCCACCCACTCTAATCGACTTCTGCCTCCAACACTCCTCACCAAGTACTCTTGTCAAGGTCACTAGTGTCTTCTTCAGTCATACTCTAAATTTACCTCCCTCTCCACAGCACCAGACATGACTCTTTGCCTCTACTTTTGTCACTTCTCCTGTACTCCACCTCCATACACTGGGGCACTCAGGGCTCCGCCTGAGCCTCCTCCTTCCCCATCTACCCTCTCTCTTAAAACCGAATCTGCTCTCAAAAGATGCTATCAACACACTCTCCACTTCCAAAGTATACCCCCAGCCCTGGTTTCTCCCATTAGCTTTACACTTCATATTTAATGTACCTTTAAGCCCCTAACTTGTCCCAATGACTCTCAATATCCCTATTTCCTCCTCTCAGTCAACTGTACGGCAGACCACCTGGCTGCAAAAACCTGGCCATCACCTTTGATTGCTTCCTTCCCTGAACCACCACATTAACTGAACCACAACTTCTACAAAATATCCTTCAAATCCACCCACATCTGTCCATCTCTGACACCACCCTGGCCCACAACACCATCATAGCTCACCTGGACTGTGACGAACACATCCAAGTGAGTCTCCCTGATTTCACTCTTGCCTAGCCACAACCGAAACTTTAGTCATCATGTCATTCTTCTGTTTTAAAGCTCTGAAATGGCTTCCTACATGATTCCAAATGTGCCAACATGATGTGACTGCTAGCCTTCTCCATCTTCTCCACACATTCCCCTTGCTGGATTTAGTCCAGGCACACAGGCCTTCTTTCTGTTCCCTGACACACAAAGCTCTTTTCCAGTTCTGGGTCTTTTTTTTCTTTTTTAAAGATTTATTTATTTATGCATACAAGAACTGGGGTACAGGCCAGAGGTGCAGGAGGTGAGAGGATTCACCAGAGACAGAGTGGGGAGCAGAACAGGTGGATCCACTGAAATACACTGCTGAGGGGAGCAATGGGTGAGACAGGAGAGGTTTGCTGTGCTACGTGGGTCCCCTCCCTGGCCTGGGATCAAACTTGTGTTGCAGTAGCTGGTGACAACTTCATAACGTTGTGTCTTTAACCCCTGCGCCACCAGGGAGGCCCCTAGTTCTGGGTCTTACAATATCATTGCCTCTTCCTGGAATGTTTTATCCATGTCTTTCCATATGACTGATCTCTTATCATTCTTCAGGTCTTGGCTCAACTGTCTCCTTTTCAGAAAGTCCCTCTCTGAGCATTTACTCTAAAGTGGCATCTTCCAATTACTCTCTCCTCATTCTGTTTATTTCCCTTTATAGCATTTATTATAAGCTGCAATGATCTTGATTGCTTATTGTTTACATATGTGTCTATATCCCACATAAGAAAGCAAATCAGTTCATCTCTCTCATTCACCACTTTATCCCAGCACCAAACACACTAACTGACATACTGACATTCAATAAACTTCTCTAAGTCAATGAAATACTATCATTGAGCAATTCACCAGTCTTTTGTAGAAAACCCATTTTACTGAATAAAGAATGGACAAACACCTCTTTATATAACTTCAGAACTCATGATAGAAAATTCTACCTGTGAGAGGCCTCCCTGATGGCGCAAGGGATTAAGACAGCACTATGGGGCTGAGAAGCTGTCTGCAGCCTCTGTAGCACCGGTTCGATTCCCAGCCAGCCAGGGAGATACCCACATGGCACAGCTCCTGTCTCGCCCACTGATCCCCTCAGCAGTGTATTTCAGTCTACCTGTTCTGTTCCCCACTCTGTCTCTGGTGAATCCTCTCACCCTCCCGCGCCTCTGGCCTCTACCCTAGTTCTCGTATAAAATAAATAAAATCTTAAAAAAAAAAAAATTTAAAAGACAGCACTATGAAGGTATCCGCAGCCACTGCAGCATGAATTTGATCCCCGCCCAGGGAGGTGACCCACATGGTGCAGCAGACCTCTCCTGTCTTGCCCGCTGCTCCCCTCAGCAGTGTATTTCAGTCGATCTGCCTGTTCTGCTCCCCACTCTATCTCTGGTGAATCCTGTCACCCCCCTGCACCTCTGTCCTGCACCCCAGCTCTTGTATGCATAAATAAATCTTTTTGAAAAAAAAGAAAATGCTACCTGTGGACATTCATGGTGAAGAAAAGGCCTGTCATTGAACAGGAAATGGCTGTTTTCTCCACCAACAGAATTACTTCCATGTGCAGTGTCAGGCAAAGGGGCAGTTGGCCCTTACCATTTCTGCATATTCCAGCTGTTCCCCCTCATTGTACAGTTCTGGGGGCAAGTTATAAATCCTCAGGATGTTATCAGCACTATTGGTCAAGATGCAGGAACCATCAGGGGCCCTAGGATTAGGAAAGAAATACAAAGTTGGGCAGACCTGTATTTTTCAAGAGTAGAGCTAAGGCTGAGCCTACCCGTGGGGGAGATAAACCTCCACAGTCTTTAAGGAAAAGTGAAAGACACAAGGTTCTCAATGAAATTTAAGCTCAGGCCTAAAAGGTATTCTAACTCCTCCCACCTCTTCTGGATTCTTCTTCCAAATAATTGGGGTGTCATAAGGTGAAAATTCTGGGAGTGATTAACTCTGCCCCATTTTCCTTACTTACCACTTACAGCCTTTCAAGAAGTTCTCATGTTGGGCGCTGAACTCAGACCAGGAACCACTGAGAAACCGAGGTATCTGGGAAAAGCTGTAGTTCCAAGTGCTGGAAGGAAGGTGGGAAGACAACAAGCTTGGCTCATCAACGCAAAGAGAAAGGGCCAGGGAAGTGGAACTAAGAATTGGCACATAAGATAAATCTCACACTTCTATACATTTCACAACTTCCCACCTCTTCAGATTCCTGGGTCAGCCGCCATCATCACTTACGTGTATCCCTCATCCTCAGGAGCGGGTTCCTCAGACACACCTTCTTCCATGGCTTCTTCAGGCTCCAACGCTGGCCTGTTCGTTTCTTGTGCAGGAAGACTCACTTTTTCAGAAAGTTCTTGCTCCTGGGCTCGAGGGCTCATCTCAGTGGGCGCTGTTTCCAGGGGGGTGGAGGAAGAAGCTGGGTCCTTCTCCTCCAGCTCCTGAGATACAGCTGAGCCAGTGATGGGATCTGGGGATATCCGGGACGGATCATCCCCATCGGGTGGCGGTGGTATCAGTTCAGGGTCCGTGTTTTTATCCATCGGGGAAGTCTGAGGAGAGCGATGGGCTGCAGCTGGAGCCTGGTCTGAGGGAAGGCTGTCCGGAGCCAACAGTGGCTCCTCCGGCGTCTTCATACTGCAGAGGAAGAGCCGCAGACTTCGGTCTCGGTCAGGCAGCCTCCCTCCCGCTGGCGACCAGCTGCGTGACGGGCGCAGAGGCCGAGATGACTTCAAAGCCCGCGCAGCTCGGGCCGCGGGGCTGGAGAAACCCACCAGCGCCTCTCTTCTTCCGGGAGGGGTGGGAGACGGACGCCCATGTGGACAGCTCGGCGTTCCCGAGCCGGGTCGGTCGCTACGCGCCGCTCGCTCTCGCGGGATTTGGGCCCACCTGTCGATTGGACCTCCTCACCCCGGATCAGATTTCGCGGGCGACCCACTAGAAGAGCGGGGCAGGAACGTAAGGTCAAGGTTTACCGTTCCCAGCAAGCCCTGGGGCTCTTAGTGGCTGCTGGAAGTTGTAGTCTGAAAGCGTCGGCCTCGGGGAGCAGAGCCTGAGCGCCCCCTGCCGGCTGCTGTGGTCATTCTTAAAGCACCTTCCTCCCGCCCCTCATCTGCAGAGGGCGCTAGGGCTATATTTGATTGTACGCGTCCGGAACGCCTTGCATCTTGCTCGCCAAATTCATCAGACCTCCATTTCTTTTCATTCAGTAAATATTCCTGAGATCTTGCTGTATTAGGCACTGGAAAAATACAACAGTGATATAGTAAACAAGGTCTTTTCCCTCCTAAGGCTGGGTATTGAAGGCAACGAACCTATCTTCAGATAGTAATGAGCCGTAAAGGAAATTAAACAAATGGTATGATGCAGAGTAGATGGAGGAATGTGTTAGACGGGGATAAAGGAGGCCTTCCTAAAAGGTGACATTTTAGTTTAAGAGAAGAAACTATCCCGCTCTCTCGGAAATGAGCGTCCAAGCTGGGGGGACGGGAACTCGAGTACAAAGGCATTCTTCCTTTCCCCTTCATATTGGACACAGTGGCAGGAGTCTTCCAAATGGTTCCCTCCAATTCTGCCCTCACGGCTCTGGCTTCGTGTTCTTTCCCATCCCAAAATGTCAGTGGGTAGAGCAGCAATACTGCAAGAATCTTGACTCTTCTCTCCCTCCTCTTCGACATTGTATTTCCATAGCCTCCGCCCTCAGGCTGATAACTTGCCCTTACTTGTCATGGCGACCATCCAGCCCCGTGCCAGGAGCCTCGCGGGGGCTGCTGGGATTGGGATTTTCCCCTCCCATGTGCTCGGACTGGCGCTAAAAGTTTCGTGTTCCTCAAAAGTAAAGAGCCACCATCCTGGGTGCAGGTATCTGCTGGGCTCCGGGGACACCAGGCGTCCGGCGTCGAAGTGTGTTTCCCAGGAAGGTAACAAGCTCCCCTGAAGTTCGGGTAAGCCCTTCACGGAGTCTGATGAGTCCTCTCTGAGTCAAGGGCTCTTGGCTCGGTGTATTTATTTTCAACTCGGGAGAATCGCAGGGCTGGGGGTGGGGCAGTAGAGACCTAGTGACTTGGGGGGCATGTAACTTGGCTGGCGGCACCAACATTCGGGATGCAATGTTGGGAGGTCTGGGTATAGAAGATGGAGGATGTTAGGATGTGCCGAAATCAAAGCTGAACACCTGGACCGGGCTGGGAGTGGGACTTTGGAGAACCTTGAGCAGGCCTCGGGGGTTCTTCCGCCGGTCCCCATCCCAGTAGAGTGAATCCTGAAATAAGAGGCGAAGAGCATCAGGGTCTGAGACTTCCGGATCTCGGGACATTGGGAATTTATGGCTCGAGGTTTTAGGACCCATGGCATTCTGGCGGAACCTCGAGCTCCACTCCGAAATTATTACTTTGCGATCTGGGAAGCCCAGGATAAGGTCCCCCAACTTCCGGACCTTTGTCCTTCCAGGAGTGGTCTTGCTTATGGAGCCTCGGCCCCGCTAGGTGGAGAAAATTCAGCTAAAGCCAAAGACGGTCAGCTGTGGAGGTGGGAGAGGCTAAACGAGACGTTTGCCCGCGAAACCGGGGAGGCTCTCCGGGCCTGAGCGGCCGCGAGCCCTGTTATTGTTTGGCCCTACATTTACATTTCTGCCCCTTGCAGGAGCATTTCCGGTTTCTTTTCGGAGCGGCTCACTCTGCACTCAGTGAGAGGGAAGTAGAGAAATCACCTGTTGTAGGCGGTCTCATATTACTTATGCAGAGAACCTCTAACCTGGCCTGCCTTTTTTATTTTTATTTTTTTTTTAATATTCCTGGACTACTTCGTTTCCACTTTTGAAAAGGGAGGAAGGGGTATTTGTTTTGCGGCAAACCTCAGCCCCTCCCCCGTGTGATTGGTGCGCTCCACCCGGGGGCGCGCGGCCAAGGCGGACGCTACCATTGCTTGACACGGGGTTAAAACACACATGCGCAGAGCCCCCGCCCCCCCCCCCCGTGTTTCCTAGAGTGGGTACATTTGAGAAACAAATGGTGAAAAAGCGGTACGGTGGCTCGTTCGTGGCGGAGAAACAAGCTCTCCTGTGTCGGGCCTGGGCCGAGCCCCTCGGGTCCGGACGCAGCCGGAACGCCCAGCAGCGGAAGGGGCGGGGGCGGGGCGGGGGGCGGGGGGCGGGGCGGCGTCTCCCCGGGCGAGGCTGGGGAGCCCGCGCGAAGTCCAAAGCGAGCTCGCGGGCCAGCTGCGTGGCTCCAGCGTGTTCTCCCCCCGCCTTCATTTGCCACGCGCCTGCTGCGGGCTGGGCGCCGCGCGCGCTTCTGTTCTGCTTACCTTTTTTCTAAATTGGTGTCTAATATATTTACACCTGCTGCAATTAGATGAGTTTCGGCAGCTCACGCCTGTCAAAATACAAGACATTTTAATCACCCCACAAAAGTTTCTTCTACCTCTTTACCCATCTCTAACCCCCATCTTTATTTTTATTTATGGCACCATCGGTTCGTTTTGCCTGTTGGAGAACTTCATATAAATGAAACCACACAATGTGTTCCTTCGTTTCTTTCAGGTTCCTTTCGTGCAGCATAATGTCTGAAATTCATCCATGTTATTGCGTCACTTAGCTATTTAATAGAGTCCATTGGATGAATAGACCATCAATTTTTTTTTTATCTTTTTAAAGATTGATTTATTTATGCACACAAGAACTGGGGTAGAGGCCAGAGATGGGGGGGGGTGGTGAGAGGATTCACCAGAGACAGAGTGGGGAGCAGAACAGGCAGTTTGACTGAAAACACTGCTGAGGGAAACAGCGGGCAAGGCAGGAGTCTGCTGTGCCATGTGGGTTTCTCCCTGGCCTTAGTGGCTGCGGATTGCTTCATAGGTTGAATCTTAACCCTTTGCGCCACCAGGGAGGTCCTAGACCATCAATTTTTTTTTTAAGATTTATTTTTTTATGCATGCAAGAACTAGGGTCCAGGCCACAGGTGTGGGGCAGTGAGAAGATCCACCAGAGACAGAGCGGGGAGCAGAACAGGTGTATCTACTGGAATATACTGCTGAGGGGAGCAGCAGGCAAGTCAGGAGAGGTCTGCTGCGCCACATGTGGGTCACCTCCCTGGCCAGGCATGGAACTAGTGCTGCGGATAGCTTCATAGTGCTGAGATTTAACCCCTTGTGCCACCAGGGAGGACCCATCCATTCCTTATCCATTTGACATTTTCCCGTTTGGGGTTATTTTGAATAAAGGTTCTGTTAGCCTTGTAGGATTCTCTTTGTGGTCGTATGTTTTTAAGTTTCTTGGATCAGTACTTTTGGAGTAGAATTGCTACATCAGAGAACAGAAAGTAGATCTGTTTTTCTTTTTAACTATTAGAAAAAAAATCTGATTTTCAAAGTGACTATTATTTTATGCTGCTATCAATTAGATATATTCTTCCTCACATTTAATTTGTCCTTTCTAATGTGGTATGTCATTGTGGTTTTAATTTGTAGTTCTCTGTTAAGTATATCAAGTGTTTCTTGTTTATTGGTCAGTCCGTGTCAAGTGAAGTAACTCTTTAGACTTTTCCCCATTTAAAAATTGATTTATTTGCTGTTTGTTGTCAAGTTTTAGGAGTTTTATGTCCGATACATGTTTTCCTTGACCTGTTGGTTTGTCTGTTTGCTTAACACTGTCTTAAGATGAGCACAAGTTTCATTTTTCTTTTTGTTTTTTGTTTTTTTGTTTTTTTAAAAGATTTACTTATTTATTTATACAAGCACTGGACACAGTCAGAAGCACGGGAGGGTGAGAGAATTCACCAAGTCAGAGCGGGGAGCAGAGCAGGCAGAAGGACCGAGGCACACAGCTGAGGAGAGCAGCGGGCGGCAGGAGAGGTCTGCGCGCCATGTGGGACCCTACTCCGGTGGCCGGGGAGCAGCTGGGGATCGAACTGGCGCTGCAGAGGCTGCGGGCAGTTTGCAACCCAGCGCTCAACCCCTGCGCCGCCGGGGAGGCCCTCATCTTTTTTCTTTTAAATGGTTGCAGTGACCTATTTAGGAAATCTTTGCTTACTCCCAGGCCATGCAGGTACTCTTGTTCATTTTCTTCTAGACCCCTTTTATTTTTAGGTTTTACACTTGGGGTCTATGAGTCATAGTGAATTCAATTTTTTTTTCATAATGTGTGAGATGTAGGGGTCAAGTTTCTGTTTTGTTTTTTTGTTTTTTGTTTTTTCTATATAGATATCCGGTCCTTCTAGCCCCACATGTTAAAATAGCCTTCCTTTCCCCACTGAAATGCTTTTAGTTGGAGTGCTTGGTCCATTTATATTTTACCGCATTTATTGTAAGGTTTGAGTTTAAGGATACTATCTCAGTGCTGTTTTCTATGCCTTCTTTTCAAACATTTGAGGAAGAAATATAACACCAACCTTACATAAAAATTCTTCCAGAAATCAGTGAGTATAATTTGCCTTACTAATGGTCGTTTAAACAGATGCATAAAAAGTAGTTGATAGGCAATGTCTTTTAAGATTTATTTATTTATGCATACAAGAACTGGGGTACAGGCAAGAGATGTGAGGGGGTGAGAGAGTTCACCAGAGACAGATTGGGGAACAGAATAGGCAGGTCTACTGAAATACACTGCTGAGGGGAGCAGCAGGCTAGTCAGGAGAGGTCTGCTGCACCATGTGGGTTGCTTCCTGGTAGGCCAGAGATGGAACATGCAGCATTAGCTGTGGATAGCTTTATAGTGCTCCTTAACCCCTTGCTCCACCAGGGAGGCACAGCAGTATCTTTTTCTGATTAAAAACAAACAACAACAACACAACTTTCCAGCAAACACGGAAAAGGAAACCTCTTCAGTCTCATGAAACACCCCAAATTAAATTTGCCATTAACAACATAAAATACTTTTCCTTTAAGATCAACAACTAGAAACAGATTTGACTCTCACATCTTCGTCATTTATACTCAGGTCTTAAACAAGCAAGAAAAAGAAGTAAACTTAACGATTGAAAAGGAAAAAGTAACAACTGTTTTTTGGTTTGTTTGTTTGTTTGTTTTTTAATAGTGATTTTTTTTTTTTTTTTTTAAGATTTATTTATTTATTTATTTATACAAGCACTGGGTACAGTCAGAGACACGAGAGGGTGAGAGAATTCACCAGAGCCAGAGCGGGGAGCAGAACAGGCAGACTGACGAAGTACACTGCTGAGGGGAGCAGCAGGCAGCAGGAGAGGTCTGCTTGCCATGTGGGACCCTCACCCGGTGGCCAGGGATCAAACCAGTGCTGCAGAGGCTGCGGGCAGCTTCACAACCCAGCGCTCAACCACTGCGGAGGCCCAAAAGTAACACTGTTTTAATCGCAGCTGGTATGATTGTGTATGCAAAAAATCTTATTAGAGGGCCTCCCCGGTGGCGCAGCGGTTGAGCGCTGGGTTGCGAAGCTGCCCGCAGCTTCTGCAGCGCCGGTTCGATCCCCGGCTGCTCCTGGGCCACCAGGGGAGGGTCCCACATGGCGCGTAGACCTCTCCTGCCGCCCGCTGCTCCCCTCAGCAGTGTACTTCGGTCCCTCTGCCTGCTCTGCTCCCCGCTCTGGCTCTGGTGAATTCTCTCACCCTCCCGTGCTTCTGACTGTACCCAGTGCTTGTATAAATAAATAAATAAATCTTTAAAAAAAAAAAATCTTATTAGAAAATCCTTGGGGGGGGGGACTCAACGAATTGGTGATTATAACAAGGTCACATATCTAAGATAATATACGTTAAGTTGTATTGTTATACAATAATCATTGAATCTGGTCTAAAAAATTATTTTTGGGCCTCCCTAGTGGCTCAAGGGGTTAAGCACTGCACTGTGAGGCAGTCCACAGCCTCTGCAGCACAAGTTTGATCCCTGGCCAGGTAGAACCCCACATGGCGCAGCAGACCTCTCCTGACTTGTCCACTGCTCCCCTCAGCAGTGTACTTCGGTCCTTCTGCCTGCTGGGCTCCCTGCTCTGGCTCTGGTGAATTCTCTCACCCTCCTGCGCTTCTGACTGTATCCAATGCTTGTATAAAATAAATAATAAAATAAATCTTTAGAAAAAAAAAAAAAAAAGTACCAAAGTGAATAAGCTGGGGAAGGAGAAGTCTTTCAACAAATGGTGCTGAAACAACAGAAGCCAAAAAAAAAACTCTTTCATCATCACTACCTCGTGCCCTACACAATTTATGATGGACAATAGACCTAAGTATAAAAGCTTCGGAAGAAAACACAGGAAAATACTTTCGTCTTGGTGTAGATGTGGGTTACAGGGCTGCTTCAGACCTTGTCAAACTTTGTAATCAAAATGGTATGGTTCAGATTTGTGCATTTCAACAAATGTTTGACCTCAAAGATATTTGTAGGGCACTAAGGAGTGACTAAAGGTATAGTTGAGCCACTAAAAGTTGATTTTTGAAGTTGGGTGATGGGTATGGGAGGGTGTGGTACATTATTCTATTGACCTTTATATATGTTTGAAATTTTCCATAACAAGTTTTATTTTTCTTTTTTAGATTTTTTGTTTTGTTTTGTTTTGGAAAAAATGCAGACAAGTACAAGAATTGATATACAACATTCATATTCCCACCAAATAATTTTAACATTTCAAACATTTTATTTTATTTGTGTCTGTATTTTAATTATATGAGCAATGTATAGCTATATTTTATTTATCTTTGTTAATAAAGCTAAACCCCCCTTCAACTATACCTCTGGTCACATGCGCATACATACCTCTCCCTGAAACTATCACTATTATAGGTTTTGTGAATTTTTATTCTTGCCTGTCTTTCATGCCTTTACATACATGTATTTATAAGTAATAAATAATCATTTTGTATTTTTTATTTATATAAAAGACATTACTGTGTTTTGCTTTTTTCAGGCAAATTGTCTCTTTCACCCAACGTGTTTCTGATCTCCCTCTCCTTACACATATACAGATAAATTTATTTTCTTCAACTGCTCTAGTGCTTTTTCCGCACCGGTATACCACCTTTCATTTAGCCGTCCCCTCCTGATGAATGGTAATGTTTCTTGTCACCTCCTATTGGGAAGAACGACCTGAATGTCTTTTGCACAAGATTCCTGCTGCCCCCATGCAGGCATTTTTCTAGGGAGTCTACCTAGAAGTGCTTTTACTGAGTGGTAAAATGTGTGCATTTCAGTTTTACTAAACACTGTCCTATTATTTCCACAGTCAGTTTTTTTTTTTCCAATCAGCTTTCAGACAAAACCAGAATTTTTGCGTCTATTCTTTTAGCCTGAGTGACTTGATTCCTTTCACCCCAGTTTCCTGACCTGCTGGTAATACCTCCCTTATTGGCTTTTTGAAGGGATTAATGAGACAAGACAATGAAAATAGCCCACTGGTGTCTATAAACGCCCGTTGTTGCACCTCTGTCATCAAACTAAGCTGGTGGCTACCTATGTAACCGTCCTACACCCCCCCCCCCAACCATTTGGAAAGTGTGCTTCAGCTTTTGACAGTTAAGTATCGTGGTCTGTGATGCTCATACCTGCCCTTCTGAGAAAGAAACATTGAGAATTTAATTGCTCCCAAGGACTGAGAGGAGGGAGACCTCATGTCCATGGACTCCCAGTGGAGTTAAGACCCTAGGCTCACCAACCCAGAATGGCCCCTCATAGCGTGTTTACTGAACAGAGTCCCTATAGGAAGTGAACCAGCATTATGGGGGCAGTACCACAAAAGCCCCACCCACTCACTATCATCGAGTTCTTACTCTAGAATAATAATAGAGAACAAATAAAATGGAACAATCACAAACATAAACATTTGTTGAGCTTTTACTGTCTTCCAGGCTCTTTTGGGAAGGGCACTATCCTGGGGCCAGGGATGCTAAGGCACAGAGGTTAAGTACCTTCCAAAGTCACACACTTAGGTGGTGAGCCTGGAATGCAGGCCTAACCCATCTGCCTCTAGGGGTCATGTTTGCTGGCCCCCTGGTGCTTTGTACTACAAATACAAAGAGAGGGGCCTCCCTGGTGGCACAAGGGGTTAAGGACAGCACTGTGAAGCTATCAGCAGCCTTTGTAGCCCAAGTTCAATCCACAGGCGGCCAGGGAGGTGATCTGTATGGCGCAGCTGACCTCTCCTGTCTCACCTGTTGCTCCCCTCAGCAGTGTATTTCAGTCAGCCTACCTGTTTTGTTCCCCACTCTGTCTCTGGTGAATCCTCTCATACACACACAAACCCACCACGCACCTCTGGTCTGTACCCCAGTTCTTATATGCATAAATAAATAAATCTTTAAAAACAAAATAGAGGGCCTCCCAGGTGGCGCAGCGGTAGAGCGCGGGAAGCTGCCCGCGGCCTCTGCGGCGCCGGTTCGATCCCCGGCTGCTCCCCAGACACCGGAGGAGGGTCCCACGTGGCGCGCAGACCTCTCCTGCCGCCCGCTGCTCCCCTCAGCAGTGTACTTCGGTCCTTCTGCCTGCTCTGCTCCCCGCTCTGGCTCTGGTGAATTCTCTCACCCTCCCGGCTTCTGACTGTACCCAGTGCATGTATAAACCAAACAAACAAACAAACAAATAGATAAATAAATAAGACATGTCTCTAGAAAATTAAAAAAATAAATAAATAAAAAATAGAGAAGACTCTATAAAAAAATAAAAATACAAAAAGATGAGTAAAATTCAACTGCTCTATGGAAGAAACCAAAAGTTAGCCCCTTGGGCCTCCCTGGTGGCACAGCAGTTGAACACTGGGTTGCGAAGCTGCCCGCAGCCTCTGCAGCATCGGTTTGATCCCCGGCCACCAGGCGAGGGTTCAGACCTCTCCTGCCTCCCTGCTCCCCTCAGCAGTGTATTTCGTCAGTCTGCCTGTTCTATTCCCCGCTCTGGCTCAGGTGAATTCTCTCACCCTCCCGCGCTTCTGACTGTACCCAGTGCTTGTATAAATAAATAAAAATAAATCTTAAAAAAAAAAAAGCTTAGCCCCTTAAGGTAGACAAGGTGACACAGCCTACAGAAATAACAGTAATATGTCAAACCGGGGCTTTTGGCTTCTGAGCCCCATCTGCAATCACTGGGGCTTTTTTCTGTAAAAGTCTAAAAAGCTCTTTTGATCAGGAATCTAGTTCCTTCTTCCCTGATAAATGTTTGGCATCGCTCCTGCTGCACCCTCGTGCCTTCCTCCATTCTCCATGCCCAGGCATAGTCCAGCCGCCCCCTCCCCCCAATCCCGAGTGAACATCAGGCGCTGGGATAAGTGATTCTTTGCCATCTTCTCCATTGGAGACTTTCATTAGCTCAAAACTACCTCTGAGGTTTACTGATTACAAAAGAGAACTCTTCAGAGTAGTCTGTGATGGAGTAAGCATCTTACTCTTAGATGTTTGAATGGTCATTTTGAGTAAAGTCTTATTCACTCACCTGAGCAACCTATGGGCTAGTCACTTAAGCTCTCAAAGACTCTCACCTGTGAAGTGGCAGGTGTGGTTATCACAACAAATAAGATAATCACCTGAAAAGATCCTGCAACTCCAAGTACATAGGAAAACAAGTTCTGTATCAACATAAAGGTGGAAGTTGACATTAACAGAATAGGAAAGAACTGGTCAGTAAGCTACCTATTGGGGGGAGCGTTTGTCAGTGAAAAGCAATGAAGGGGAGGGCCTCCCTGGTGGCGCAAGGGGTTAAGCACAGCACTATGAAGTTATCCACATCCATGGCTGGCCAGGGAGCTACCCACATTTGACCTCTCCTGTCATACCTGCTGCTCCCCTCAGCAGTGTATTTCAGTGGATCCACCTGTTCTGCTCCCCACTCTGGTGAATCCTCTCACACCCCACACCTCTGGCCTGTACCCCAGTTCTTGTATGCATAAATAATTTTTTTTAAAAAAAAGCATTGAAGGGGGAGGGATCCTTTGCGTGTTTCTTAGCAAAGCCCATGCCACGTTTGGCATCAAGGAAGCTGGCACAATGAAGCTAGTTGAAAGCTGGTCTGGGAGAAGGTCACATGTTGGCCGCATAGCCCACTCCAGAGCCTGGTCCAGACTAGAGCCACCATGCCTGTCCTTGCTCTCAACCACTTGTATCAGGCCCACGACCTGGCACAAACTGACTTACTTGTCACTGAGCCTGGTCAATGTGAATAAGAGAAATAACTTCCCTGCCTTGAGGAAGTTTGTAGTCCACTGGAAGAAACAGATAAAATGAGCCCAAAAAAAGATAATCAGTGTAAGTACTAAAATAATTAAAATAGGGTGACCTGAATTAAAATAGGGTGATGGAGTTTGGCTGGCAGCCTTTGATCTAGACGTTTGGGAAAACATCCCTGAGGAAGTGTGACATGTGACATTCAAGACAAGATCTCTTGCAAAGGAGCCTGCCTTACAGCCATGGGGAATCAGTTCCCAGCAGAGGGAACTGCCTGTTGATCAAACTGGGGGCGGGGGGCGCAGCCACTCTGGCCCCCAGCAGCAGCACTGGGAAGGTAGAGAGTGCTAAGAGAGATCAAAGGCAGGCAGGATTGATGATGAGGGGTTGTAACCTGTGGGTGAGAGAGTGGAGACAGACTTCTTCTGGAAGCTTTTCACTGAAGGAGATTAGATGGGGATCAAGGGAGATATCTTCGCCCCAGAGCAAGGGAAGAGAGCAAAAGTAGGCTACTCATTTCAGAAGGTTTGTGGCCTTGGTGGGAAGCTGGAAGTCCCTCTGTGGTCCTTTTCCCTCAAAGAAGTGCGTGGTGAGGAGTGGGGCAGGAGTAGCTTGGGTTGTGGAAAAAGATTGGAAGCTCCTTGGGGATATAGGAGGCCTCTGCCTGCTACCCCAGTAACAGCCCCTCTGGGCTAGATGACCTGGAGCTGGGGTCTCATTCTGGAATCTCGCTTTTCCCACCACAGTGGCCACACTGACTTCCAGGGAGCTGCAATGGAGGAATCACAGTCAGAACTTGGCGTGGGAACCCCTCTAAGTCAGGAGACATTTTCAGACCTGTGGAACCTGTGAGTAGAAGGAGGGTGGGGGCAGGTTCACCCATCCAGCCCATTGAAGTGGCCTGTGGGAAGCAAAAACCAGTACTGACCTTCTGTTCTTACCTTTCAGACTTCATGGAAACAATGTTCTGGTAAGGACTCAGGGTGGAAGGCACCAAGTATTGAGAGACCGGGGTGGGAGGGTTGGGAACCTGATTCTGACTTCTTGTGTCTCCTAGCCACAGTGCCCAGAAGTGGAGGAGTTGCTGATGACTTCAGACTGGCTGGATGACGATCCCAATGAAGCTTCCAGAATTCCAGCGGCTTCTGCACCAGTAGCCCCTGTGCCAGCCACTTTAGCACCAGCTGCCTCCTGGCCCCTGTCATCCTCTGTCCCATGTCAGAAGCCCTACCCAGGCAGCTATGGCTTCCGCTTAGACTTCCTGCAGTCTGGGACAGCCAAATCCGTGACCTGCACGGTCAGTGGCCCTCAGGGACTCTCTCCCCTGTGACTATTCCATGCCTGGCCAGATCCCCCTGGGTTTTTCTATTCAGAACTTGGGATTTCAGATTTTCAACCTTTGGTGTCTTAACAGTTTTTCTACAGTTTACTTACATAGTGTGTGACCTTCGACCTCTGCCCCAAAGCTTAATTTCCCCTTGACCTTGGGCTTTCATCCTTCCCTTCATACTCAGCACCTCTCGTGGGGACTTGGGATCTCTAGCTATAGTGCACGGCTTAGTGGCGTTGGTTCATTTGACCCCTGAGCACTTGTCCCCTGACCTTCCGTTCTTTCCCCCTTTTCTGTAGTACTCCCCTGACCTCAACAAGCTGTTTTGCCAGCTGGCAAAGACCTGCCCTGTGCAGCTGTGGGTCAGCTCACCGCCCCCTTCTGGCACCCGTGTCCGTGCCATGGCCATCTACAAGAAGTCAGAGTATATGACGGAGGTTGTGAGGCGCTGCCCCCACCATGAACGTACCTCTGATAATGATGGTGAGTTGCCAGGGGCTGCAGATGAGATGAGGCTGGTGCCCAGGTTCCCCAAGATACCTAATTCTTCCCTGATTGCTCTTAGGTCTGGCCCCTCCTCAGCATCTCATCCGTGTGGAAGGAAATTTGCATGCCATGTATTTGGATGATGAAAACACTTTTCGACATAGTGTGGTGGTGCCGTATGAGCTACCTGAGGTCTGGTTTGGCTTTTGGGGGACTCTGGAAGGAAGGGATTAAAGGGTGTTGGCAGTGACCATCCAGATGGGAGATAGGAGGACTTTTCCCTATATCTTAATGAGGCTGTGAGGTGTGCAGAAAAGATGGGTTATTGGATTATTTCCCATTCCACAGTTGAGAAACAGTACTAACAAGGCTACAGGTCTCCCCAGCTCTAAATGATCTCACCTTGAGCCTGTGTTCTCTTACAGGTCGGCTCTGACTGTACCACCATCCACTACAACTTCATGTGTAACAGTTCCTGCATGGGGGGCATGAACCGGCGACCCATTGTCACCATCATCACACTGGAAGACTCTAAGTAAGGACACACATGCCATTCATACTGGCTCCTCTCGATATACCTGGAACCAGAACTTAGGTGCCACCATCTTATAGGATGAGGAAGGGTTGCAAGTGAGCATGGTAGTTTCTAGAACAGGGAAATAGGGCCTGCCTACCTTACTGTATTCTGCTTCCCTCTTCTTATTCTGGGTAGTGGTAATCTGCTGGGACGGAGCAGCTTTGAGGTGCGTGTTTGTGCCTGTCCTGGGAGAGACCGGCGCACAGAGGAAGAAAATTTCCGCAAGAGACGGGAGCTTTGCGCTCAGCTACCCTCTGGGAGCACTAAGAGAGGTAAGTAGGCAGGACCAGAAGAGGTAGAGGAGCCAGAGACAATGCAGTTGTCCCCAAAATCTATCTTTTCTTACTTTTCCTTGTCTCTTTCCCAGCAATGCCCACCAGCACCAGCTCTTCTCCCCAGCAAAAGAAGAAGCGACTGGATGCAGAATATTTTACCCTTCAGGTACCTAAGTTTAGGAGAGATACTTAGTCTCTTGCCCCCATTCAGTGGAACTGGATAAGGGAAGAAAAGATGTAAATGTAGCATATGTAAGTTTAGGTCCAGTTTTCTATCCATCCTTTCCTCTGACCATGGCCTTAAGTCTTGTAGTTAGTATTGGGTTGGAAGATTTACAACTCAAAAAGCTATTTTCTTTTTTTAAAGATTTATTTATTCATGCGTACAAGAACTGGGGTACAGGCCAGAGGTGTGGGAGGTGAGAAGATTCACCAGAGACAGAGTGGGGAACAGAACAATCAGATTGACTGAAATAAACTGCTGAGGGGAGCAGTGGGCAAGTCAGGAGAGGTCTGCTATGCCATGTGGGTAGCTCCCTGGCCCAGGATCAAACATGTGCTGCAATAGCTGCGGAGAGCTTCATAGGTTGCATCTTAACCTCTTGCGCCACCAGGGAGACCCAAAAGGCTATTTTCTTGACTGCTTTGCCTGCAATTAGGGCACTTGCCATCGCAGCCGTAGTACTTGAAGACTGTCTCCTAGTTGTGCCTAACTCCAGAATACCGACTTATACCATAGCTTTTTTTTTTTTTTTTTTAATCAGTGCACAGCAAGTTTATTAAGGAAAAGAAAAAAAGAAAAGAAAAACTTGCATAGACGCAGGAGGGCAGAGAGCTGCCCATAGCAAACATGTTTTTTAAGATGTGTTTTTAGGGCCTCCCCTGGTGGTGCAGCGGTTGAGCGCTGGGCTGCGAGGCGGCCTGCAGCCTCTGCAGCGCAGGTTTGTTCCCCAGCCGCCGGTGAGGGTCCCACATACACACACAAAAAATGTGTATTTATTTACGCATACAAGATCTGAGGTACAGGCCAGAGGTGTAGGGGAGTGTGAGAGGATTTACCAGGGATAGAGTGGGGAGCAGCACAGACCAATCTGTTGAAATACACTGCTAAGGGAAGCAGCGGGTGAGACAGGAGAGGTCTGCTGTGCCATAAGTGTGTTAGTTTTCTGGCCGGGTATCAAATTCAGGCCATAGTGGTGATAATGCTGAGACTTAACCCCTAAGCCGCCAGGGAGGCCCACCATAACATACATTTTAAAGGACCATTTTCTGAAAAGAAAATTGTTAAACAAGCACGAAAACAGTACCATGACTGTGCCTAATAATTCTCTGTCCCCCTTCTCCCCACTTCAGATCCGAGGGCGTGAACGCTATGAGATGTTCCAAATGTTGAATGATGCCTTGGAGCTGAAGGATGCCCAGGCTGGGAAGGAACCAGGGGGGAGCAGGGCTCACTCCAGGTGAGAAAACTGGGTCCACTCCCAATTCCACCCCTGCTTTGCTATGTTGGACAGCCAGGATATTCCATTCTGTTCCTGCCTTTAAGATAAAAGGCAACCAGTTCCTTCCCATTGGTTGCAGACCTCTTCAGACACCTTTTAGTCTCCCTCTGGTATGTTACACCACCACTTTACTGACTCAGGGAACTCACAAAACCCTCAAGTCCAGGATTAAGTATGAATATCTTTACCATTTCCAGCAACCCCCCCATCTGAGGCTATCTCAGGGACCCAATAGCTGTGTGGAAGTGTTGGATAGAGCCAGGGTTTGGGGTCAGACCCTTAGCCCTGCTAAGTACTAACAAGTCCAGACCCCCTCTCAGGCACGTTCCTCTTGTTTATCAAATGGTGTAAGGGGACATTAGACATTAATACACACAGGCGCCCAAAGGGTGTTCCATAAGCAAGTCTGCAGTTGGTGTTAACTTAAGTGAACTTGAATTTGCATTGCTCCATCCTCAGGCCCTTAAAGACCAGCTAGGTCTAGAATTGAGGGGCCCAGAGTCTCATTCAGATGATGTTGTCTCTTCCCCCCCACCCCTTCTGTCTCCCCACAGCCACCTGAAGTCTAAGAAGGGGCAGTCCACCTCCCGCCATAAAAAACCAATGTTCAAGACAGAAGGGCCTGACTCCGACTGACATCCTCTGCTTCCCGCCCATCATTCACACACCCCTTTCCATACTCCCTTCCCTGGTATTTTTGGGGAAATGTTCTTTAAACCTCTGCTTGATACAGGTGTGCCTTAGAAATACTCTAGAATTCTTCCATTTGTCTTTCCCTGTGACACCAATATGAAAGTTGCCTAGCAATGGTGGTTTGGGGAGGGTTAGGGGAAGCTGGGACTTTTCTGGCTTAGCTTTTAAGGATTTTACTATAAGGAACATTTGGGAGAGGTAAGGAAATATTCCTGTGCAAGGAACATTTTAGAAATAGGCATACACTGGGTTAGAAGCCCAGTCTTCTACCATACTAGCCAGGGAAACGGGTGTTGAATTTCTCCTAACTTCATTATCCACACTTATAAGATACTGATAGTTGTACCTACCTCACGGGGTTTTTAGTGAGGATTAATGAAATAATGTGTTTCTGGCTTCAGCACCACCTTTTCTCAAATAGTATCTGGGACTTACTGCCCTCATGGGTGCTCTGCCCTTTCGTGGATATGTTGATCATTTCTATGACATGGTGGCTATTAAGGGGAGGGGATTCTCCAAGTCTCTTCTCTGCTGGCCTAGCCAAATCCTATTGAACCTCTTGGTGAACTTAATCCCGCACCTGAGAGGAAATCTCACCTCATCCCACACCCTGGAGAATTCTTGCTTACCCAACCTTGGTTTAGCATCGACCAACATCTGTTTTACCTCCCTCAAATGGCTCAGGGTTGACTTTACACTTTACAAAGCACATCTGTATTCATCACCTACCCCCCTCTCTTCCCTTTTTTTAATCCAATTTTTATATTGATTTATTTTACAATAAAATGTTATTAGCATCCATGTGTCTGTGGGGTGGAAAGCACCCGCCCAGCCTACGTGGAGCTGACACTGCAGGGTGAATAAGAAGGTGAAATTGGGAAGCAGCCACCTGAGTCTCCAGGGAGTGTGGGCTGGGGGCCCAAGACCTGGGTTCCGGGAGGAGAACAAAAGCTGGAGACTGGGGCAGTCCGCAGGCTGCATGACAACAAGGGAAGGGGGGACTCCATTCATAACTCAGGAACCAACTGTCCCTCCTCCCCTTCTGCCAGGGCTGGCACAAGGTTCTCTTCTGCCCCTGCTTCTAGGATTGGACTGCTGCCTCCTCCTCAGCAGCCTCTTACTGAGGATTATGGGATTTAAATGTCTGATTTAGCAAGCCTGAGCCTCTAGGGTGGCCATCTGCTCCACGGGAAAGGACCAGGATACCTGGGTTCCCAAGGGAAAAGCTGATGGGTGCTGTAAAATGAAGCAAGAAGCTGCCAGCCAGGGTCCCCGAGAAGAGGGGGCGGCTAAGGTTAAGGCTAAGACCTTCCCGGCATGCCCTCATCATGGGCCTCACGCCAGGCATTTGAATGAATTGAAGCTTTAAACTCTGCCAGGAAAACCTTTCAAAGGCCTTCTTGGGGTGGGGAGGAGAGTGGAGATTGGGGAGCTCAGCACCGCCCCCTATTTCTCAGTGCTGCCAGATCCCAGGGAGGGGGGCTGCAGGAAAGACCTCCCCATACTTCAGCCATGCTTGAAGGGGGAGCAGATAGTGGGAGCATGACTTAGCTCCACCCTAGGGGTGGAAGAAGGTCCAGAGGGGCTTCTGGGACCTTGTCCTTTTAGCTATCAGTTAGGCATAAAGTGTCAAGTCCCTGGCTTGCCTTGAGGGTCCCATGCTGACTGAAGCCAACAGCCTGCCTAGCCTCAAAACCACCGATTTTTCCCTCTTGCTCAGGAATGCCAAACATCCCCTAGGAGATCTGGAACCATCACTTTCAAAGACCTTTAACTTTGCCATCTCTTCCCACCCACTCAGGCCTTGACAAGCCAGGCTCCAACTTACTCCATCTCCTATAATGGGTCATCTTGAAGCTCCCCTTTTTTTTTTTTTTAATTTTATTTTTTAAAGATTTATTTATTTATTTATACAAGCACTGGGTACAGTCAGCAGCGCGGAAGGGTGAGAGAATTCACCAGAGGCAGAGCGGGGAACAGAACAGGCAGACTGACGAAATACACTGCTGAGGGGAGCAGTGGGCGGCAGGGGAGGTCTGCCCACCATGTGGGACCCATGCTGGTGGCTGGGGATTGAACCGGCGCAGCAGAGGCTGAGGCAGTCTCGCAGCCCGGCGCTCAACCGCTGCACCACCAGGGGAGGCCCTTGAAGCTCCCTTTCTGACTAGTGTCCAGGACCCCTACTTTCACACATCCCTAGGTTGTATCCCTGTTTTCCTTTCTGCTCTACTATAGAAAGCAGATCCATTCTAGCTCTGCCAGTTCCTTCTTTGTGAGCTGACATGACTGAGAATTACCAAGTCTGGGTTTTGGGACCAGCTCTGCCATGAGCTATGTGACCATTAAGGAGCCCTAATCTTTCTGGTCCTACCTGTTGACTTCCTTCTGGTTGTGTTCTTTCAGTCATCTGTCCATCTGGTGGGTGGGTATGCACTTGTTCCTTACTCTGCCTGGCATTTTTCTAGGCCCTAGAGGCCCATGGCAGACTTGGCTCCTGCCCTCAAACTCCCAAGAGCCCAAGCCCTGGTCTGTGGTAATATTTAAATATATATACTCTACACACACAATCTCCCGGATTTCAGGAACACAGTTGAGACATAGCAAAAGCTATATTCTAAAAAAATATATATACATAAATGCTTATATTATTTGAAAGAAAGCAAGCTAGCAGTTACCCTAAAAATTAAAGACAAAAGCTATTGAAAAAGAAAGCAAACTTAGTTGAGAAAACAAATCTAAAAGCAGGGACTTTTTTTTTTAAGATTTATTTATTTATTTATACAAGCACTGGGGTACAGTCAGAAGCGGGGGAGGGTGAGAGAATTCACCAGAGCCAGAAGGGAGAGCAGATCAGGCAGACTGACTAAGTACACTGCAGAGGGGAACAGCAGAGGTCTGCGCACCATGTGGGACCCTTGCCTGGCGGCCAGGATCAAACCAGCGCTCCAGAGGCTGCGGACATCTTCGCAACCCAAGGCCCTAAAAGCAGGGACTTTAAAAAGATGTTTGAAGGCCTCCCTGGTGGCACAGAGGGTTAGACTCAACCTATGAAGCGATCCACAGCCATTGCAGCACAAGTTTAATCTCTGGCCAGGGAGCTACCCACATGATGCAGCTGACCTCTCCTGACTCTCCCACTGCTCCCCTCAGCAGTGTGTTTCAGTCAATCTGCCTGTTCTGTTCCCCACTCTATCTCTGATGAATCCTCTCACCACCCACACCTGTGGCCTGTACCCCAGTTCTTGTATGCATAAATAAATAAATCTTTAAAAAAAAAAAAAAGATATGTTTGAAAAGAAAAACTCAAGAGCTAGACTGGAAAAAGAGCAAGCACCTAACAGTCCAGTGTTATTTAAATTATTCTGAGCCATAGGAAAAGTGAAATCTCCATGCAAAAGTATGGTTTCATCAATACTAAATACTGTTGATAAAGGGCCTCCCTGGTGGCACAAGGGATTAAGACACAACTGTGAAGCTGTTTGCAGTCTCTGCAGCACGAGTTCGATTCCCGGCCCCCAATGGCCAGGGAGCAACCCACATGGCGCAGCGGACCTCTCCTGACTCACCCGCTGCTCTCAGCAGTGTACTTCAGTCAGTCTGCCTGCTGTGTTCCCCACTCTGTTTCTGGTGATTCCTCTCACCTCCCACACCTCTGGCCTGTATCCCAGCTCTTACATGCATAAATAAATAAATCTTTTTAAAAAAAAAAAAAGCCTATTGATAAAGATGTCAAAAGTTTAAAAGCCAAATTAATTTATATAGGGCCTCCCTGGTGGTGTAGGGGTTTAAGACAGCACTATCAAGCTATGGCCAGCCACTGGGAGCTGACCCACATGGCACAGCAGACCTCCTGTCTCGCCTGCTGGTCCTCTCAGCAATGTACTTCAGTAGATCTGTAACAGGGTGGTCCCCAGGAAAGGGGGAGGTTCCCTGCCCCACCCAAGGGAGGGTGGAGCTGAGCAGGAAGAGAAGAAGCTGCAAGAAGAGACTGAGGAAGGAAGGAAGCAGGATGGAGCCAGGAGACCTGGAAGAGGCGCATGGAGCCTAGAGACACGTGAAGAAACTGTGCTTGTCTTTTGGTCGTGGACTAGGTGACACAAATGTGGGTGAGACCTGTGGGGAGGTGACAATGGCAGCTTTTATCTTGATGTTAATTTTGCTCTTTTCCTTCCGGGCTTGTCCAGTTGTTTGTGACCCTTTTCTGTGGGTCCCCACTGGAAGATGCTTTAGACTTGTAGCAGGCTTTGGGGCCTTGTTCTGGGCCAATCCCATATGGATGGACTTTTACCCACGAGGGGACGGGTAACTTTGAGTGCTTCATTTAGAAACTAGACTCTTTGCCTTACCTGTATTGTTTCCTAGTTTTATTTATTTTTTTTTTTTAATTTTTTTTTTTTAATAGAGGCATGTTTTATTTATTTATTTGTTTGTTTGTTTTGTATATACATGCACTGGGTACAGTCAGAAGCGCGGGAGGGTGAGAGAATTCACCAGAGCCAGAGCGGGGAGCAGAGCAGGCAGAAGGACAGAAGTACACTGCTGCGGGGAGCAGCGGGCGGCAGGAGAGGTCTGCGCGCCATGTGGGACCCTCCTCTGGTGGCCGGGGAGCAGCCGGGGATCAAACCGGCGCTGCAGAGGCCGCGGGCAGCTTCGCAACCCAGCGCTCAACCACTGCGCCACCGGGGAGGCCCTGTTTCCTAGTTTTATTAAAGTTCCTTCCCATTAAAGTCTCCTATGTTTTGTGTTGATGCGGCGAATGGCAGAACCCATGTAGAATAAGCAGGTTTGCGGGGTTTGGGCTGCCCCTCGCCCTGTCCTATAACAGATTCACCTGTTCTGCTCCCCACCCTGGTGAATCCTTTAATCCTGCCCCAGCACCTCTAGTGTCTACACCCAGTTCTTATGTGCATAAATAAATCTCTAAAAAATAATTCATATAGATGCAAAATTTGAAAATAGTTATCAGAAAGCACTGATAGAGCAAAAAAAAAAAAAATTAACATTAGGTAGGTTTTATTCCAGGAGTATAAAGTTGATTTAATAGTAGAGAATCTATCAGCATAATTTATTACATTAACAAATTAAGGAAGAAAACTCATCTCATCAATAGATGTTGAAAGGAATTTGGTTGAGTTTCAGAGCCACTCCTTAAAAACAAATAGTAATGGAATGCCAGTATTATCCTAATAGTTGAAACAGTAAGATAATTTCAATTAAAATTAAGAATGCTACAGGAATGCCCATTAACTGGTTTTAATACATTCAAGAGGTTCAAAATTGCTGCACCTCCCCCTGCAGTGACCTTTAGGGTTAACCGTCCCTAGGTCCGGCTGGGCAACCAGCATGCAGGGGGAGAACAGCAAAACCCTACATACCTGCTGCACCTCCCCCCGCAGTGACCTTTAGGAATGGCTTTCACCACGGTCCCTAGGTCCGGCTGGGCAACCAGCGCGCAGGGGGAGAACAGCATAACAGCTTCCCCTGAAGCAGAGGAAGCACAGCGGAAGTTCCCTAAAAAGACAGAAGCTTATCAAAAGATAACGACCACCAGGAACCACTACAAGAATGCAAAAAATCTTATCCCGTCTTTCTAGAACTACAAACTTTAATCCCTTAATTGTCTTTCTAAACTTCCTTCTTTCTTCTATAAAAGTCATTGCTTGTTATGTAGATCACCTCCCTGATGGTGATAGGCTGAGCCCATGAGCAAGCTGATTTCATTGATATTCATTGTTCCTGTGCTTTTGGAAAACATATATACTGGTCACAAACTCAAAGAAAATTACACTCAGATTTTCACTCTTGAAGTGTGTCTGTTTGTCATTTCTTTCACCGACGCCCTGGCCACCCTGCACGCTTCTCTCAACCCTGAGGTGGCCTCATCGTCTATTGCTGTGCTGGTCCGTGGCAAAAATGAAATAAGATACTGCCTTTTTGATATGATTATGTACCTAAAAAATTCAAGGAAAGCTCCATGCTCTGATGGAATTATGAGAATTTAATAAGGTAGATGGATAGCAAATAGAGAAATACTATTTTTTATCTTCTGGAAAATGCACTGAGATGAAAGAAAAATATAGTTAATTGAAAATAACAAAAATGACATGTAGGAATAAGTTTTAAAAAATGGCATATACAAAATAAAATGGTATAGAAACTATAATGCCTTATTTAAAGTTATAAACCAAGATCCAAACAAAAGGAAAGAACATATTCTTAGATGGGAAAAAATATTTTTAAAAGTCAATTCTGAAACAACAATATCATACACATCCAATTGTAACTGATGTTTTTGTAAATTGGTAAATTTATCATGAGAGCCCAAGAATAGGCAATAGTTGTTTTCTGCAAAAGAATGGAAAGAGGGCCTCCCCGGTGGCGCAGCGGTTGAGCGCTGGGTTGCGAAGCTGCCCGCAGCCTCTGTGGCGCCGGTTCGATCCCCGGCTGCTCCCCGGCCACTGGAGGAGGGTCCCACATGGCGCGCAGACCTCTCCTGCCGCCCGCTGCTCCCCTCAGCAGTGTACTTCGGTCCTTCTGCCTGCTCTGCTCCCTGCTCTGGCTCTGGTGAATTCTCTCACCCTCCCACGCTTCTGACTGTACCCAGTGCTTGTATAAACAAAACAAACAAACAAATAAATAAATAAATAAAGCATGCCTCTATAAAAAAAAAAAAAATTAAAAAAAAAAAAAAACATATTAAAAGAATGGAAAGAGGGCCTCCCTGGTGGTGCAGGGTTTAAAGACAGTGCTATCACGCTATCTCCAACCACTGCAGCACAAGTTCTATCTCCAGCCAGCCAGGGAGCTACCCACCCCCGACCCCTGCAATCCTGGCCTGTACCCCAGTTCTTGTATCCATAAATAAATTAAATCTTAGAAAAAATATGTAAACCAGATGAATTAAAGTAATCTAAAAATGAAAACAAAAGTAAAATCCTTCTACCCTCACTCAAAAAAAATCTAGAAAATAGGAACATACTTCAATGACTGGCAATTAACCAACAGAACAAACTAAATGGAGTTGCCTATGAAAACTCAGCACTAACAGTAACAAGATACCCTACATACTCAAGAGGCATACAATAGATTGGGGGAAATTCTGCAATGCAGAAAACAATTTATATCTATAATTGTCAAGGAGTTCTAAATTAAAGGGGAGAATATGGACCCAATAGGAATATGTGGTCTTTTTTTTTTTTTTAATGAATTGGACCTCTGTCCAGTGAGGCACAGACAAAAACCATTATTGTGTTAAAAAAGTGAGATCCACAAATGTATGATCCATTTTTTTTAAAGATTTATTTATTTATGCATACAAGAGCTGGAGTACAGGTCAGAGATGTGAGGGGTGAGAGGATCCGCCAGAGACAGAGCAGGGAACAGAACAGGCAGACTGACTGAAGTACACTGCTGAGGGGAGCAACGGGTGAGACAGGAGAGGTCTGCCTCACCATGTGGGTTGCTCCCTGGCTGGCCGGGGATCAAACTCTTCTGCAGATGCTGTGGATTGCTTCATAGTGCAGTACTTAACCCCTTGCGCCACGAGGGAGGCCCAGTATGATCCATTTTTGGTATAACAATGGGGTGGGTGTGTGGGTGTGTACTATGCATTCTTGATAAAAATTTTGTATGTGTGCATACACAAAGCTATTTTTCAAAGTAAATACTAAGACCAACTCCTTGCAAACAAAAATAAGCCTCAAGAATATAATAAAATTAGGGCCTTCCCGCTGGCACAGGCAGTTGACCACAGCACTGTGAAGCTGTCCGCAGCCTCTGCAGTGCAGGTTTGATCCCAGCCTGCCAGCGAGAATCCCGCATGGTGCAGCAGACCTCTCCCGTCTCGCCCGCTGCTCCCCTCAGTGGTGTGTTTCATCAGTCTGCCTGTTCTATTCCCTGCTCTGTCTCTGGTGAATCTTCTCCCCCTCCCATGCATCTGGCCTGTACCCCGATTCTTGTATAAATAAATAAATCTTTAAAAAAAAAATACAATAAAATTAGCTACAAACCCACACCTGATATACCACAACAAAAACTTCGTACAGACCCATCCATCCTTTTTTTCTGTTTGTGTATTTTTTTCAAAACAGAAATTTGGGATCATAAGGTTCTTATCATTTTCAAATCTGCTTCAACATTTTTTTTTTGTGGGACCCTCGCCCACAGGCGGGGAACCACCGGCGCTACAGAGGCTGTGGGCAGCCTTGCAGCCCAGCGCTCAACTGCTGTGCCACCAGGGGAGACCCTGCTTTAACATTTTTCTAGGCATTTGCTGATGCTATTCTCTCTCCAAACCACCCCATCCTTTACACCTCTAAGAAACCTTCCCTTCACAGCCCCTAACAGAAAGTGGCTGGGGGAAAAAAAAAATGGTTCATTACTGAATTTTGTCATCCCCAGGTTCTTCCCCTTCCTTGAAGCATATTTAAGTCTTCCTGATATGAGAGTATCACCTATGCACCTCACCTCTCCTGTTAAATTGGGGAGCTCCTTGGAAGCAGGAATTCTCTGAATCAAAGTGTGTCCTCACGGTGCCTAGAAAGCACATAGTACACACTTTATAAATATCGCTGTACAGAGGGACATAGGCTTCCTGCTTCTCTTGTACTGAGATACAAGATAGGATAGGTGAAGGATGAGCTAAGAGCTAGTTGCATGGACATTGAAAGAAGAGGTCAAAGCTGGGCCTCCCTGGTGGTGCAAGGCGTTAAGTCTCAGAGCTATCAAGCTATCTCCAGCCACTGCAGCTTGAGTTGGATCTGCGGCCAGGGAGCTACCCACATGGCACAGCAGACCCCTCCTGTCTGGTCCGCTGCTCCCCTCAGCAGTGTATTTCCGTCAGTCCGCCTGTTCTGTTCCCCACTCTGTCTCTGGTGAATCCTCTCACCCCCCTCCCAACACCTCTGGCCTACATGCCAGTTCTTGTATGCATAAATAAATAACAATCTTTAAAAAAAAGAGGTCAAAGCTGGAGAACAGCCCCCAAGGCCTGGCTAACCCCCCAAATCACCCAAATCCACCTCTTCCCCCATCCCAGGGCTCTTTAAAATGCCCAGAAAGGAACAACCCGCACGCAGGGCTCTGTATGATATATATTTATATATATAATTGCTCTCATTTTATTGTACTTTATCCTCTTTTTACAGTAGATCTGACACAGGCATTAAATAACTGCAGAGAAAGACCTCTAGGGTGAGGAGAGTGCAGGAAAACCTGGGGACCCCAAGGGAAGAGACAGCTCCAGCAAGAGAAAAAGGGAAGGGTCCCCCTGTGAGCTGCCATGGGGGCTGCAGCATCAGAACAGAAACGCAAGGTTAGAGGGGGTGGCAAGTGAAGAGACACTGTAATAGAAAGAGTTAAAATGTCTCTGTAACTCCAGAACACAGGAGGTCCCTCATTTAACATTCCATGGGCACTATGGGGTTGCTTAAAAAGGCAAAGGGGTGTGAAGGAGAGGAGCCAAGAAATTCAGACTAGATTGGGGTGGGGGTGGTATTTGCAATGTGCAGGAGGGGCATGCAGAGGAGGGAGGAGTTAGTGATTAGTTGATAGCTTGCTAAGAGCAGTCAGAGAGGGGACGGGTGTGGGGAGACAGCCCCCGGGGAGGAGGTGGAACAGTCCCATAGCCAGCTGATGTGTCCAAGGTGGCCTCTGGGGATCCAGCCAAAAGGGCTGTCCCTCCCCCAGGCTCCCTGGGAAGTGGATCTTGAAGGATATTCTGGGAAAGCGAGCCCAGGGAAAGGAGCCATCGGAAAAAAAAAACAAAGTGGATATTCAGCCTAGGTCAACCCCGCCCCTCTGAAGAGCATTTACTTGGATGGTAGGAGGGACCTGAACGGGAAAAGAAATTTCACAAAGAACCAAGGTGAACTTCTCTTCCTCAGGGGCCCTCACTCCCAGCTCAAGCAGTCACCGCAGGGGAAGAAGCAGAAAGGGCCAGGGAATAGGGAAAGGCCACCAAGCTACCCTGTCCTCAATTACAGAGGGTTGCACTGCCGTTCAGAGGAGGGAATGGGAATGAAGAGAGGTGGAGAAAGACCTGCCAGAGGAGCCAGATAAGCCAAAAGTCACCAGGACAGGAAGGTGTAGTCAGGGAGAAAGTGTGGAAGACAGGGAAGAGGGAAGAGGCGAGCTCAGGAACAATGTGGAAGAATGGGGTGTGTGTGTGTGTGTGTGTGTGTGTGAACGAGGGTTGGTGGGCAGCTGGGTGAGTCTGAAGGGAGGTGGGTGTGAGGGAGTGAGTGCGATGTCAGCTGAGTGGGATATCCTGTGGTTCTCAGGGGCCCAAGTGGCAGGAGAGATGGATGGCTCTGGGGACACCTCACTCACAACTAAATGAGAACTGCAACTAGAAAGGCTCCTAACTCCTCTGTGACCATCTTGGGATCACATTTCCCAAGGACTGGATCCTGGGTGGGGACAAGATGGTGGAAAGTGTGTGTAGCCAAGGAATCATAATGGACATTAGGCTGGGTTCAGAAGTAAAGGAAAATGGCGTGAGGCTGAGACAAGTCATAGCTCTGTTATAAAAAATACCTTTGGGGTGGGTGAGGGAGGGATCAGGCAGGGTCAGGGACATTCCAGAAGCATCCATAGGAAAGCTTGGGGACTGGAGAAAGGGACCTCAGGTTTTATTGATGCGGAGTTTGAAGGCCACGCGCCCGGCGAACTTGTCTCGCTCATCATCTGTGGCAATATTGGCGGCGTTGATACGACATTCCACATTCACCTCTACATTGGGGGTCACATTCAGGAACTTCACGGCCACCAGGGGCTGTGTGTAGTTCACCTGGGCCAGGGGCAGAGAGCAATGGTCTAGGCCCATGGGATAATCAACCTCCTTCCCAAGGCCCCCGACCCCTGGAGAAGCCATTATCCCCAACCTCCCAAGGGACTTACGTGGAACTTTTTGCCGTAGTAGGGGAAGTACATGAGGTCAATGTTGCCATTGGCAGGGAACATAACAAAGCTGCCGAGATTCTCAGCATCTTCATCTCTCTGTGGGAGTGTAGGAGGGTAACAGAGAGAGCATGTTAGGGACGGCAGGAACACAGAAGCTTGCCAGACTTCCCTTTGGTCTTCTTTCACCCCAAATTATTCTGCCTCCAATATGTTTCCCTTGAACTGTGAGTCTATGTGTGTTTTTGTGTGCACAGGAGGGGGTGTTGCTGTCTCTTTCATCAGCCTGGGAAGTCCTGAAGGGTGCTAATGATACTGAACCTCCTACTCTACTCCCACCCCAAGTTCTTACCCCATCCTCAGGAATCAGTTTCTGGAGCAGAGCCAAGAGAGAAAAGAAATTGCAAGGGCTCAGATGGAAGTAAGGAGAGGGTAAAGGGAGAGGGACAGGAAGTTTCTACAGGAAAGAGGTGGGGGATGCAGGGTTCCAAGGATAACTTGGTGGTGGCAGATGGTGCTAACAGATTAGCAGCTACCAGGTACCTAAAAAAAAGTGAGAGGCAGGCAAGATAAGGGGGAGAGCAGAAGACATGGTTATCAAGGGAGAGGGTAGAAGGGTTAGGGAGAGAAACCAGAGACTAGGAGCTGAGTGGAATCAGGGGGTGTCTGTCCACATGAGAGCAGACCTCTGCGTCCTAGAAAGAAGGAAGAGGGGTCAGAGCCCCTTGGAGTTCAAACCACTCTTACCCCCTTGTCCCTGTGGTGATGGGGCCTCTGGGAGCAAGGAATAGGGAGCGACAAGCAGATTAGAGGGAAATCATGATGGATAAACAGGTGGGCAAGTAGACAAGGCCCAGCAGACTCACCTTCCCCGCACAGGTAACATTCATGCTCTGGTTTGCACCTGCATAGAAGTTGATGACCTGGAGTGCAGAGAGAGAGTGGTCAGGGCTAGAGAAAGAAGTTGTCAAAAACACAAGTCTCCAACCTACCATCTATGAATCTCAGCTTCCAATGGCCCCATCTCTTCTGTTCTCTCTGCTACTCAAACATCCATAAATCTCTCTAATGCCCATTAGTCCCAGTGAAAGGAAGCAACTGTTAGGAGAGGGTGACCCAACTCCCTCCTCTGTTCTCCCTGGGGATCAAGATCATAGGTACCCGGTTCATCTTGATGAAGACACAGGGCTGCCCAGTGCTGTAACCATAGTGGGTGGGGTCCCCGATGCCAGAGCAATCGCCCAGCTGGGTGCGGTTAAACCGGCAGGCACGCTTGGGGTAGTTGAGGACTCCATTATCTGGCTGTTCGTAATAGCGCCCAGCGCGGCAGACATCATTCTTTTGGGCTTGGATGGAGTCATTGTAAGCTAAGAAAATGGGAAAGAGAGAGTCACGGGCCTGAATGAAATTCCACTTCTGGATCCCTCATCTTCTGCCCAGGGTCCTGGACAGCCACATTGCCAGCCCCACACTCACGCTCCAAGAACTTGTTGAGCTTCTGAACATGCTGGTCCCAGCTTTCAGTGTCACTGACGTTGACAACGACATCAAGGTTCTCAGTTTTGGGGCGAATCATCAAACCTATTGCCAACAAGGACAGAAGTGGGAGTATATAAGATGAAGAACCACGTATAGAGGGAAGAGGGACATAGGGAGTACAAGGGTGGGGGGGTGGGGTAAAGAACTGAGGACATCATCAAGGGAGGAAGATCTCCATGACCATCTAGCTGCCACCCCCTGGATGGTCCAGCACTCAACTGTAAGGAAATGGGAGATAAGGCAGACCTCAGGAAGTGCTTCCCAGTCATGGGGGTGATAGCGTCAGAGACACACCACTGAGAACTAGGAGCCTGAGTTCCTTCTGAAGGCTTGGGGGCAGAAGGGCAGTTAAGTGGCTTTCAGGGGAGCCTCATCACTCACCAGGTGTGGCCAGGCGGTCCTGGTACTTGGGGGTATGGTCAGAGACCGTCTGTAGCATCACCCACATGGTGAGGGTGAACATGGCTGTGAGAAAGCCATAGAAGACGAGGTAGAAGAGCAGGATAAAGGCTAAGGAAAAGAAGACAGGGTCAGCGGGTCCAAGTCTCCCACCATGGCCCCACCTAGCCTGTCACCCCACCACCCACTCAGAGGTTCTGCAGTGAGGGCCACTGGGGATGGGCAGCAGAGCCTGGGGATCGCTTAGAGCCTTCCCCCGGGAGCAAAATGAGACAGGCTGGAAATAGGCAGTCATGTCTGGCTTTCCGCCACAATTCCCAGCCCCCTCCTGGTCCTAGGGCACAGCAAAGCCCGATTTTGTAGAGGCCACTAGAGACCTAAAGTCCCGTTGCTGGGACAACTCCAAGTATACGCAGCAGTCATTTTGCCTCAAATTACATTCCCGATTTCTCAACCATTCATGGCCCCAAAAAGGCACATCTGTTACCGCTGTATGCAAATGCTTACAGCACAACAGACTGACTTTTTAAACTGCAACTGGTCACCCTTCACAACCAAACCTTCATTCCTCAGCGTGTGGAGACTTGCCCTCAAAGAGTAAAATCTTCTCTCTGCTGGCACCCTACAGAAGCCAAACCTTGAATGTAGCTTCTACCCAGCTACAGAATCTCTCAGAGACAGCTGTCCAGAACCTTCAACTGTCACCCCACCCCCAACTCATGCACAGCACTCAGGGCACAAGGTAAGGGCAGAATCCCCCACAGCCTTCCCAACACTCTGAACTCATGATGTCACTTCTCAGTCTAAGGCAAGTTCTTGCTGTTCCACCATCCTGGACCCCCACACCAGGGGGTCCATCTCAGAAGACACTTCCCCCATGAAGACGCCTCAGATTCTACCAAGCAATCATGGGGCTGGACTTGCAGTTTCCAGCAGGCAACGACTGCATTGGACCCACCTCAAGGGCCCCTATGATGGATGGGTAGGCTGACTTCAGTGGGTGTGGGAGAACTGAAAATTGTGTCACACAGGTCCCCTGGGCCTTGACTTCCCTGCTCAAAAAACCCTTAGGAAGAATTCCACCCCTCACCTGCACCCATTCCTTGGACCAGACACAACTCCCTCCACACCCCCTGAGTGAGGGCAGGGAAGGTCCCAAGTCACCCCAACCTCAGACACACCATGTAGGATGATGTACACATCTCACCACTAGTGACCACTCCTCCCTCTGCCTGCGACATCCCAGCTGCACAGCCAGTCTCTCCCCAACCTCATGTTGTCACCCCTCCCCAACACCGTCCCCCACCCACCACGCAGTCACAGGAGGCTCCAAAATCTCAACGGTGGGATAGTCAACTTCCGCCGCAAAGAACCCCTCCACCCCCCACCCCCAACCTCCCCAAGACCCACCCCTTCTTGAATGTTCCCAGGGTCCAGGGGGTGGGCACGGACTAAAAATAGACGGGCCTGGCTAGCAGCAGAGCAGGAGGGAGGGAAGGGGTGCGCTTCTGGGGAAGGGGAGAGAAGATGTGGGGCGTACCCGCCCGGAGAAGGAAGGGGAGCACAGACGCCTCGGGCGCGGACACGCGCGCAGAGCCCGCGACCCCCCGCCTGAGGGGGCTCCACAGGGGGCAGGAAGGCGGCAGTGACCTACTTTCTCCGCCTCCGCAGCGGCCAGCCTGGGAGATTAGACCGGCGATCAGGGCCCCCTCCCAGTTCAGAGCCCAGCAGGGGGGCCGAACGCCAGGGACCCGGGAAGGGACCTGGGGAGGGGCGGGCGGGACCTCGTGCCCTGGGGCGTCGCCCGGTGGACCCACCCCTCCCTTCGTCTTCCCGGCCCCGCGTACCCCAGCTGGTCCCGGTGCGGCCCATGAACTGGTGCGTCCTCGGGTTCCACACGAACTCCTTCCACTCCTCAACCACCTGCCCGCAGCTCTTCTTCTCTTTCTGGATGACCATCTTGGCAGCGGGAGATTAGTCCCGCGCAGGGCGGGGGGCTGCGGAGAAGCTGGGGTGCGGCGCGCTGAAGCCCCCCCTCCACGCACCGGAATGCGCGGGGAGCAAAGGCAGCAGGGGCGAGGAAGACCCCCCTCAGATATGCAGCCGCCGCAAATTCCGGGGTGCACCGCCACGCGCTGCGGGGTGTCAGCAGAGCGGCGAATGCACGGATCCTAGGCCCCCCGACTGCGATGAAAAAGGGGGTTGTCAGGGCACGGGAAGATAAAAAGGGGAAAAGGGTCCAATACAGCTTTACCCCCGCCCAAACCTAGAAGCAAAATGAAAGGGGGTGCAAAAATAGACGGCTGAAAAACCGGAGCGAAGCTCAGAAAAATAGGGGTGCAGAGAGGCAGGGAGAGGTGGGGGAGGGGGCCCTCGAAATCAGAGAGGCAAAGAAGCTGTGGAGGGGGTCGGATGACCGCTCAAGACTCTCTGACTAGCGGAGTCTGCAGCAGCAGTAGTGGCTCGGCCGCGGGAGTGGGGGGGGCGGGGGGAACGCGCAGTTGGGTGACAGGCAGGGATGGGGGTCCCCCAGGCGGAGGCTCCGCTCCTCAGCAGTGCGGGGTCGACCGACTCCGCGCGCAGTCTTTATACTCGGCGGCTCTGTGGGTGCCCGCCCCTTCCCACCCCCAGGAGCTCCGCCTCCCCTCGCCGGTCCGCGCGAGCTCATGCATATGCAAATAAGGAGAGAGGGATTGGGCTGGTCCCTAGCCGCCTCTGCCCACCCAGGAGGGCTCTCCCGTACCCCAACCCCAGGTGCTAGTCTGGATCCGGGTGGGTGGAGGAGATAGAGGGCGGGTCTGATGGAGTAGCGGAAAGATAACCCCCGAGAGACTCAGCGTCTGAGACCTAGAAACAGATATGTGCTCAGGGGTGGAGGCCCCAGGGAGGGAGTTAAAATGAAACGGAGATCAAGGAGACAGGCTGGGCGAATGTGAGAGGAATAGAGGAAGAGCCTAGACCAAGAAAACCTGAGACTGGGAGCCGTGGGAATGCTGGACCAGCCAGGATGGAAGCTCGAACAGGTCACGTAAAAATGGATAGGGGTCACCACCAGAGGGAAACCGCCCTGTTAAAAGCTGCTCCCCTCCCCACCACTACCACCCCCAAATATCTTCTTTTCCAGTCCCACAACCACTTTCCCCCACCACCTCAAGCTCCCCATTTCGAAGGACTTTCCTATCTTCCCACCACATCTTTGATGAAGCCCTCCCAACACCTGTTCCCAGGCCCCAGCTTTGCTCTCAGACCCCAGACCTGGAGCCACGTCTCCTTAGGTGTTCCGTCTATCCCCACCCAGGCCGCCGGTGTCGAAATTTCTCTTTTCTTTTCTTTTTTTAAAGATTTATTTTTTTATGCACACAAAGATTGGGGTATAGGTCAGAGGTGCAGGCGTGGGGGTCGGGGAGTGGTGAGAGGATTCACCAGAGACAGGTGGGGAGTAGAACAGGTGGATCCACTGAAGTACACTGCTGAGGGGAGCAGAGGGTGAGATAGGAGAGGCCTGCCACACCATATGGATGAGCTCTCTGGCCATCCAGGGATGGAGCTCGCGCTACAGTGGCTGTGGATAGCTTTATAGTGCTGCAACTTAAACCCTTGCGCCACCTGGGAGGCCCTGAAATTTCTCTTTTCCTTTGCCCACAGTTCTCACAGAACTCAAGAAAACCACAATCCAGAAGGGTGTACAAGAACATCTAAAGATCACTTGTTTATCATTATCTCATTTAATCTCTCTTCAAATCTCATCACTTTTCCTTGGACAGGCTTTTCTCTCCTTTCAAGTCTCACCCTAAATCCTTGACCCTCGTCTTCAACAGCTCCCCTTCTGATTATCACTCTCACCCTCTGATCCAGGGCTAGCTTCATCAGGGTGGGGTCTGCTCAGTTGAATAAACCTATGCTCAGCATGTCCTTGTGCTTGCTTTAGTACTCCGTGTCACCATCTTGAAATTCTTAACAATTCTTATCTTTGAACTTGTGCTTTGTAAGTTGGACGGGACAATGGAGCATGTCTGTGAACAGAGGAGATAAGCATTATAAGCTGTCTTGTTCACACAGAGCATTCATGGTGAGACTCTATCAACACAAAATTCTGGTGGACCCACCACAGATGGAAGTCCAGTGAGACTCAGTGAGGACCAGGTAAGTGTATTATGTCTGCAGCTGAATAAGTGGGATGCTGATAACTGAGGGGCCATATTTTCCACTGAAGCAGAACTTACTTGGAACACAGAAAGGAAGTAATGGCATTCCAGGGCATGTGAACGACTGAAGCATCCTATCATCCCTTCCCAGTCATGTTACTTCCCTGATTTAGCCAATTACTTTGCTGGCAATGATGACACAGAAGGCAAGGGAAAGCAAGGGCAACCCATAATTCCTTTCCTTTCAGCTCATCAGTAAGTGAAAGTAGAAAAATGTAAATTTTTACTTGTTTAGAACATTAAATAGAAAATGAAAACACCACGAGGTGTCAAGAGAACTATAGAAGAAAGGAAAACATTTTACATTTTAATGCTTTTCCCTGCTTTCTGAACAAGGGGTTCTGAATTTCATTTTTCACTAAGCCCTGCAAATTATGCACCTGGTCCTGCTTTACTCCCTTCTGCAGAAGACTCTGGATTAATTTTCTCAAAATACAGTTTTAATTAGGCCACTCCTCATTCAAAAATCTTCAATGATTTCCAGTACCCTGCAGGATAGAGTCCTGATTCTTCAGCCTAACCTTCAGGAAACTCCACAATCTAGACCCAGCGTGTGTCCGCCTTTCCCAGTAGGCCCCAAGTCGTCCTCCACTGGAGCTGAGCCAGTTACCCTTGGGACAGGCTGTGCTTACTCCTGACTTCACACCTTTGTCCATTTCACTCCCTCATTCTGGAAGACTGCCAACCCTTCAGAGTCCTTCCCAACGCCATTCATTCCTTCAATGCCTATCTAATGAGAATTTGCTCAGAGCCAGGCACTGTTCTGGCCCCTGTGCTCCTGGGGCTCCCATTCTAATAACAATAAGAAGCAGCAACAAATAGGATCATGTTAATATTATGCAGAAAAAAATAAATAAAACAGGGCCATGTGCCAGGGAGTGCCTGGATGGTCAGAGATGGCCTGACTGAGTTGACTTTTAATGAGAGACCTAAGTGGCCAAAAGGAGTCATGGGGTAGTGCAGGGGAAGAGCTTTCGAGGAAGAAGGATGTGAAGTGTGAAGGTTAGCTTCAGTGAGGGAAGACTAACGCAGCAAATCATACAGGAGATAGGCAAAGGCCAAATCATATAGGTCCTTCTAGCCCTAAGGGAGTAGTTTGGATTAGAATCCAACTATCATAGAAGCAATTCTAGGGCTTTAAGGGGGGCGGTATGTATAACATAATCAAATTTATTTATATTTGCATAGAAGAACTGGGGTGTAGGCCAAAAGCAGGGGGGTGAGAGCATTCACCAGAGACAGAGTAGGGAACAGAACAGGCAGATCTACTAAAATACACTGCTGAGGGGAGCAGCAGGGAAGACAGGAGAGGTCTGCTACCCCATGTGGGTAGCTCCCTGGCAGGGGATTGAACTCAGGCCATAGCAGTGATAGTGCTAGGACTTAACCCCTAAGCCACCAGGGAGGCCCTGATATGATTGAATTTAAAGAAAATCCTCTCAGGGGCCTCCCTGATATCACATATGGTTAAGCACAGCACTCTGAAGCTATCTGCAGCCTCTGTAGCACAAGTTCGATCCCCAGCCTGTCAGGGAGCAACCCACATGGTGCAGTAGACCTCTCCTGTCTCTCCTGCTGCTCCCCTCAGCAGTGTATTTTGTCAGTCTGCCTGTTCTGTTTCCCACTCTGTCTCTGGTGAATCTGCTCACCACCCCCTACGCCGCACCTTTGGCCTGTACCCCAGTTCTTGTATGCATAAATAAATAAATCTTTAAAAAAAGAAAAAGAAAAAGAAAATCCTCTCGGCTGCTGTGTGGAGGCAAGGGGGCCGGTTAGAAGGGCTCTGCAACAGTCATCCAAAGAGAGATGGATGGCTTGGCCCTAGGAGCAAGTTTGCAGGAGACAAAGACGATGGGTTTTGGATCCTTTTTGGAAATAGAGTGAGAGAACAGAGGAATCAAGGCTGATGTCTCGGCTTTTGTCATAAGCGACTGGGCTGAAAGCTTTTTTTGTGTATTTTATCTTTTCAACCAGACTGTAAGCTCCTTGAGAGCAAGCGTTTGTCTTTGACTTTTTTTTTTTTATTCTTTTCAAGGTTTTTATTTTTTTATTATTTTTTTTATTAAATAATAAATTTTATTTTTATATTCCCCCATACAACTGCACATGCCCCATTCTGACCCCAATCCCTCCCCTCCCGGCCCCCACCCCCCAAAAAGTGTCTCTGGTTCATAGTTTTTTGTCTTAGACTTTTTATATAAGTTCTATACCCAAGCAGGCCACAGAGATACTGAAGATAATGCCTGGTGGCTGAATTGGACTTGAACGTGGAATAGCTCCTCCTGTGAGAAGCCTCAGGGAAATGATTTGCCTTTCCTTCCTCAGACAGGGTGATTCAAGAGGCAGCCTTGGGCCTTCTTGGTGGCACAAGGGGTTAAGTCTCAGCACTAGGAAGCTATCCACAGCCACTGCGGCACAAGTTCGATTCCCGGCAAGGGAGGTGACCCACATGGCACAGCAGACCTCTCCTGTCTCACCCGCTGCTCCCCTCAGCAGTGTATTTCAGTACATCTGCCTGTTCTGTTCCCCACTCTGTCTCTGGTGAATCCTCTCACCCCCAGCACCTCTGATCTACACCCCAGCTCTTGTATGCATAAATAAATAAAAATAAATCTTTAGGGCCTCCCTGGTGGTGCAGGAGATTAAGCGCAGCGCTGTGAAGCTGTCCGCAGCCTCTGCAGTGCCGATTGGATCCCGGCCGGCCTCAGAGCAACCCACGTGATGAGGCAGACCTCTCCCGTCTCGCCTGCTGCTCCCCTCAGCAGTGTATTTCATCAGTCTGCCTGTTCTGTTCCCCGCTCTGTCTCTGGTGAATCCTCTCACCCTCCCGCGCATCTAGCCTGTACCCCTGCTCTTGTATAAATAAAGCAAATCTTAAAAGAAAAAAAAGAAAAAGAAATCTTTAAAAAAATGGCTAAGATGGTAAATTTCACATTATATATATTTTGCCACAATTTAAAAAAACAAATAAAGGAAAGAAACAGATGTTTCTCCCCTTTCCAACTCCTCAGCAGGGCATACAAGGTGTCTCATCACATGATCCCAGGAGCCTCCCAATCTGCCCTCATTCCATCTCAGCCTGCCCATGGTTCTGCCACAACCACACACCTCATCCTTCCCACCTGACAGGCTCAGATTTATTTCTCGAGAACTATGCATGAGGCTCATACTGCCAACTGGCTCAACAGCTATCACATACTGAACTCTATGTGTCAAGCACTGCGGTAGACATCTGACCTGTAGGATTTATTCACATTTTCACAGTCACCCTATGTGTAGGGCAACATCCCCATTTTGTTTTTGTTTTTTTTTTAAAGATTTATTTATTTATGCATGCAAGAATTGGGGTATAGGCCAGAGGTGGGGGGTGGTGAGAGTATTCACCAGAGACAGAGTGGGGAGCAGAACAGGCAGACTGACTGAAATACACTGCTGCAGGGAGCAGCTGGAGAGACAGGAGAGGTCTGCTGTGCCATGTGGGTAGCTCCCTGTCCGGGGATCAAACTCATGCTGCAGTGGCTGCGGATAGCTTCACAGTACTGTGTCTTAACCCTTTGCACCACCAGGAAGGCCCAACATTGCCGCGGACCAGCACAGCAGTAGACGATGAGGCCACCTCAGGGTTGAGAGAAGCGTGCAGGGTGGCCAGGGCGTCGGTGAAAGAAATGACAAACAGACACACTTCAAGAGTGAAAATCTGAGTGTAATTTTCTTTGAGTTTGTGACCAGTATATATGTTTTCCAAAAGCACAGGAACAATGAATATCAATGAAATCAGCTTGCTCATGGGCTCAGCCTATCACCATCAGGGAGGTGATCTACATAACAAGCAATGACTTTTATAGAAGAAAGAAGGAAGTTTAGAAAGACAATTAAGGGATTAAAGTTTGTAGTTCTAGAAAGACGGGATAAGATTTTTTGCATTCTTGTAGTGGTTCCTGGTGGTCGTTATCTTTTGATAAGCTTCTGTCTTTTTAGGGAACTTCCGCTGTGCTTCCTCTGCTTCAGGGGAAGCTGTTATGCTGTTCTCCCCCTGCGCGCTGGTTGCCCAGCCGGACCTAGGGACCGTGGTGAAAGCCATTCCTAAAGGTCACTGCGGGGGGAGGTGCAGCAGGTATGTAGGGTTTTGCTGTTCTCCCCCTGCATGCTGGTTGCCCAGCCGGACCTAGGGACTGTTAGCCCTAAAGGTCACTGCAGGGGGAGGTGCAGCACAACATCACCATTTTGTAGACTGGGAAACTGAAAGATTAAGAGATTGTCATTTGTCCAAGTTCACACTTCCAGTAACTTACCTCTGATGTTCGTTCTTCGGTAGATCCGTACAACTAGTTCCCCTGGCCCTTCATAGCGATCTCTATTCAAACTTCGCATATGTCTGTCTCACTCTAAGACCTCCGTTCTCCAGGGCCATGACCAAATTTTATTCATCTTCAGAGTCCCTGTGGGCTACCTAACAAGTGCTTGGCATGCTGTCAGCAACTAATAAATGTTAGTTGAAAGAAAGAAAAAGAGAGGGGGGAGGGAGGAAAGGAGGGGAGAGGAGCAGATAGAGTGGAGTGAGTGGGAAGAGCAGGCCCAGAGCTGCAGGGTACGCTGCCAGGCTCCGGGAAGGTTTTCCGGGGTGTGGGAGAGGCAGGGACACTGGGTAGTCATTGTAGGTGCCCTTGTCAGGGCTTGGCAACGTCTGTGTCAAAGCAAAGTCAGCCTTAATGAAAAAGTGTAGACAGCTCTGGATGGCAATCAGGAATCCTAGAATCTAGGACAGGCTGGAGAAAGAGAGGTTGGGGGCATGGTGTCCTGGGCAGGGTTTGCTGGAGGGAAGGGAGAAAAGTCAGCCCTTGCAGATTTCCTCAGGGGCATGAGGTCAAGAAGATGCCCTTGAGGGCCTCCCGTGGTGGCACAGCAGTTGAGCACTGGGCTGAGAAGCAGTCTCTGCAGCACCGGTTTGATCCCCGGCTGCCAGCAAGCGTCCCGGTCCTGCATGGTGCGACAGACCTCTCTTGCCGCTCCCACTGCTCCCCTCAGCAGTGTATTTTGTCAGTCTGCCTGCTCTGTTGCCCGCTCTGGCCCTGGTGAACTCTCTCACCCTCCCACGCTTCTGACTGTACCCAGTGCTTATATAAATAAATAAATAAATCTTTAAAAAAAAAAAAAAGAAGATGCCCTTGAAGGGGACACACGGGTATCCAGGTCCTTTAACCTCTCACCCCACTAGCTCACACTTGTGGCCCCATAATATTCATTTCATTTCATTATTCAGGTCTCTGTTGTGACATTGCCTCAGAAAGTCCTTCCCTGGCCACCTCGCTAATGCTAATATTGCCCCTCCCCTGTCATCCTCTACCATATTACTGGTTATAGCAGTGAAGTGATCTTTTTTTTTTAAAGATTTATTTATTTTTGCAGGTCAGAGGAGCGGGGTGATGAGAGAACTCACCAGAGACAGAGTGGGGAACAGAATAGGCAGATCTACTGAAGTACACTGCTGAGGGGAGCAGCAGGCAAAACAGGAGAGGTCTGCTGTGCCATGTGGGTCAGTTCGCTGGCTGGGGATGGAACTGGTGCTGTAGTGGCTGTGGATAGCTTCATAAGTGCTGAGACTTAATCCCTTGCACTTCAAGGGAGGTCCCTTGAAGTGATCTTGCATATTTATTCTTCCTGTTTATGGGCTGTCAGCCCCTTCTCCATCCCTATCCTCCCACCCCCAGCCCTATAATGGGGCCACCATAAGACCAGAGACTTTGTCCTCCTCAGTGTCTAAATAGTGCTTACTACGCCAGGTGTTCAGTAAATATCACTTGAATGGACATATCCAAATGGCCTGAACATAGCCTGACTGTGAATATAGCCCAGGGACCAGAGTTGAAATTGAGCTCCCCAGTCATGCTGAAGATTCTCCTGCAAAACACTCTGACTGGGTGGAGCTGGCTGTATACCTAGCAAATCAGAGATTGGGAGTAACCCCGGTTTGCTGCCTGGGCTTTGTGTCTTCTACCACAGAGACTCTCTGGAAGGCTCTTTATGCTGGGGTGGGTCATTTAGGCCCTAGCTGACCCCTGCAGAAGGAACAGCAGGTCCAGTGTGTCTTAGCCTTTTGCCTAGGTTAGTTATAGGAAGATCCTTGAAAGAAGCTAGGAGGCTGGGACACTGGGATCCCCCTGGGATCTGGAGATGGGGGAGGGGTTAGCAGTTCTTGAGTGGGGTGAGGATTGAGTTGTGGGGACTGAGATCTGGAATCTTAGGGTTCCCCAGGGTGGGCAGGGAGCTTTGGATTAGGACATAAGGATTACCAAGAGAGCTGAAGGCTGGGAGCTAGAAGCTCTGGGAAGAGGGCTTGAATATGAGAGTTTTCCAGGAGGCTCAGGGCTCACTCAAGAGGGTGCCCAAGGAGGGTTGGAGCATCTTGGCTCCTGAGGCCTGGGTGCCAAGGGCTCAGTCACCATGTTCTTTGAGGGCAGATATACTCATCTGTTTTTCCCTGAGGCCAGCACAAGCCAGTTTTTGTTAAATGGAGTACAGACAAATTCATCTGGAATGCAGCAAGTGGAGTGAACCTAAGGGAGAGAGAGGCGCTTTCTCCCTCTGATCTCTTTGTTTTCACTCCTTTCCCAGAACACCTGCCCCCATCTCTCTTTGACCCTCTCACGCCCCCTGCTGCTCCTTCTTTGGACAGCAGTGGACAATCTGAAGGGCCAATGGGGAGAGACAACCAAATTCCATTTCTCCCCTTCCCTGCTGACCTCTCAGGTTGCTCTGACTAGCACAAGGGGAGGAAGCTAAAGTCCCCAAGACAGTAGATGCTAAGGAAGGAAGTGGCCCCTGCCTCCCAGAAAGTTTCCTGTATGGGGGTGGGAGGATGTTGTAGGGGTGCTAGGATCCCAGCCTGAGAAGTCACTACTTCCCCTGGAAGCCTTCCTTGACCCCCAGGTATAATGGTAAGGGCCTTGGCTTTCAACCTTTCTTAACTCCCTGACTGCTCTTTTTTGGTGTTTATCAGGGCTTCTAGTGATCCAATTATTTGTTAGAACTTGATGGATGGCTGCCTCCCCAGGAGACTGTGAGCATCAAGAGGGCAAGAACCAGTGTTGATTTTGCTCATCAAAACAGCCAAATACTCAGCACAATGCCTGGTATAGTGCACGGGCACAGTAAATATTTGGTGAATAAATGAATGAATGAATGACACATACATTCGAAGAGGATCCTTAGACAGGGATTTAATGGGTGGTATCAGTATCATTACTTAGGCTGTGAGGGCAGCTGTGAGTCCAGATGTCTTGGCTTCTGTTCAAGGCCTGGTCGATGTCCAACTTCTGGCCTTGTGCCCAAAGGCCATCCAAGCAAAAAGAGGCAGAAGAGGCCTCTCCTAGAGGGGCATTAGGGTGGATTAGATCCAGAGCTTCTTTATACTTTTCCAGTTCTCTAACTGGAGAGTTTTTTGTTTTTTTTTTTTTAAATACATCTTTTCTTTTCTTTTTTTTTTTTTTTTAATTTTTTTTTATAGAGGCATGTTTTATTTATTTGTTTGTTTGTTTGTTTTGTTTATACAAGCACTGGGTACAGTCAGAAGCGCGGGAGGGTGAGAGAATTCACCAGAGCCAGAGCCAGGAGCAGAGCAGGCAGAAGGACGGAAGTACACTGCTGAGGAGAGCAGTGGGCGGCAGGAGAGGTCTGCGCGCCATGTGGGACCCTCCTCCGGTGACCGGGGAGCAGCCGGGGATCGAACCGGCGCCGCAGAGGCTGCGGGCAGCCTCTCAACCCAGCGCTCAATCGCTGCGCCACCGGGGAGGCCCCATCTTTTCTTTTTTTTCTTATATAAGCACTGGGTAGAGTCAGAAGCGCGGGAGGGAGAGAGAATTCACCAGAGCCAGAGCGGGGAGCAGAGCAGGCAGAAGGACCGAAGTACACTGCTGAGGGGAGCAGCGGGCGGCAGGAGAGGTCTGCGCGCCATGTGGGACCCTCCTCCGGTGGCCGGGGAGCAGCCGGGGATCGAACAGGCGCTGCAGAGGCTTCGGACAGCTTCGCTCAACTGCTGTGCCACCAGGGAGGCCCTAACTGGAGAGTTTTTGAAGTCACTCTCTCCCAGAGATTCCCTTCCCCTAACCCTTTTCCATCTTCTCCTATCTCTTAAGCTGTTTCCAATGGTGTGCTGAGGAACTTGAACAACAGTCTCTTTTACCTGGCAAAGTTCCAAGGAAGAGATGCCCCTGGGGCTGGGCCCAGAGGTTGAGAAGGGACCCATCATCCCAGGGAAGGAGAGTAAGGATCTCTTTCTTTGGCCCCTGGCTCAAGACCACCCTGGATTCATGTAGTTTCAGCTGAAGAGGAACTCCCAAGACCAGGGGTAGATCCAGCCTGGGCCCAGCCCCTGTCCGGGTAGACAGCACCACCTTCTGCAGAGTACATGGACAGGGACAAAGGTAAGGGGGGACAGAATGACCCACATCTACCTCTTATGACCCCACCCCAGCTCCCTTCATTCTGCCTGAGTCACGCCCTCCACATACTGGTCATCCCCACCACCTAAATCCTGCTTCAGTTCTCCTGTATTGACCTATAAAACCGCCCCTACCCCAAGTAAATATAGAATCTAAGTAAAAGATTTTTGCTCACTGCGGGCAGCTTAGAGATGTTGCTCTGGTCAGCCACCCCCACTCTTTTTTTTTTTTTTTTTTAATAGAGGCATGTTTTTCTTTATTTATTTGTTTGCTTGTTTGTTTGTTTTTGTTTATACATGCACTGGGCACAGTCAGAAGCGCGGGAGGGTGAGAGAATTCACCAGAGCCAGAGCGGGGAGCAGAGCAGGCAGAAGGACCGAAGTACACTGCTGAGGGGAGCAGCGGGCGACAGGAGAGGTCTGCGCGCCATGTGGGACCCTCCTCCGGTGGCCGGAGAGCAGCCGGGGATTGAACCGGCGCCGCAGAGGCCGCGGGCAGCTTCGCAACCCAGCGCTCTACCGCTGCGCCACCGTGGAGGCCCAGCCACCCCCACTCTTAAGCCTCATAATAATGAGTGTTTGGCACCCCCTTCCTCCCCTACCCCTCCACAGCTTTTGGGGTCCACTGAATACTTGATCTTGGAGGTGGAGACTGAGCCAAGAAGGGTTTTCTGGAGTGCCCAGGACAAGGAGGTAGCCTGAACCTGCTGCCAGCTGGAGTCCCAGGTCCAGTGAGAAGGCCCAGGGCTCTGCCTGAGGCTGGGGAATATCTGGGGGGAGAGGGGAGGAGGTGAGAAATGATCCTCCTGAGGCCTCAAGGCCGGGGATTCACAGAGGGAAGGAGCTGGCGGTGAAGGGAGATGGAGGACAGCGGACAGGGAAAAATAGCCTTTACCTTGGAGACTGAATTCTGCACGAGTTCCTGGAGGGAAGAATATCCCAGGTTGGGATTCTACAGCACAGCTTCTGAAGCTATCAGGGGCAGAGGCTGAGATCTGGGCCTGTTGGTCCAGCCAGTTACCCTGGCGCAGGCAGCCATCCAGGGTAGGGACCAACTAGAACCGGTGGGGGAAGGAAAGACCCGGGCATCTCTTAATCAGGACATCTGAGCCCCGCCCTAGGTTATTCCTCTCTGAATACACATATTTGGCGCCCCCATGCAGTCTCATTTCATTCCCTCTTCTCAAAAGCATAGAAGTAGAACCACACGGCTGCCTGGCTAGCAATCTTATCACCTTCGGTCATGGTTCCCATCCCCGTGATTCATTACCGGCAACAGGAGGTCCGAGACTGGGAACAGCAGTCCCCCCAGCGCAATCCTCATGATGGGCTGTGGTTTGTTACTCATAGGCCCAGAGACCTGTCTCAGTGAGAGCACCAACTCCCCATCCACCTCCAGCAGCACTGAGTCCCCATGGATCCTCACTCCCATCTGCAGGAAGGAGGAGAGAAGTAAAATCAGAGGCCTCTGGGACCTGCCTCTGCCACTTTCTTCAGAAGCAGCCTCGTATAACAACAGGTTTGAAGAGTCAGCAAGCATCCTTGGCTCACTCAGGACTTGTCAGTTGATACACTTAGCACACTTCAGAATTCCCCTCTGAAAACATGGGACAAGAATAGCAACTTTAGAAGGATTTTGACAGATGAAGTGAGACGATGGTAAACGGTAAACAGATGCCCACCCTATAGCTTGGTTCTGTTCCTCTTCCTTGGACCAGCTCACACACCCCCTTCCCTCAGAACCAGATCTGGCTTACCTGATGCCACCTCCCATCATCTAGCCGGCACCCAGCACCCACTGTAAGCTGGGCCCACTGATTGTGCAGTTGGATCTCAGGCCTGCCATCCCGAAGTCCCAGCATAAACCAGTCATCCTTTGGGTTGGTATCACCATAAAAAATCACTCCCTCGGAATCCCAGGTTCTAATTTCAAAGGAGGAAGAGGCTCTGGAAAACAGAAGAAATATGGGGCTGGGTAAGGTGCAATTCAGGGAGAGAAAAGAAGAGGGAGATAGGGAAAGAAGAGTTGCTGGAGGGTAGGGCTAGGGACAAGGTTAAGGAGTTAGGTCAACCCCATACTTTTGTATCTTGGTGAGGTCAAATGTCATGATGGTGATGGGCTCTTGTCCTGGACCATTGCTGAGGCACACAGCAGGAGGGTCCTGACTCTATTAGAAAGAGAAGATAAACAAGCTGGAAAAAGCACACACCACAGGTTACAGAGGGAGAGTTGCTGCTCTGGGGCCAGAAAAGGAAAGAAAAGAAAGCAAAAGTCATTTAAACACACACAAGGGCTGAGCACCCTGCCCAGCTCTGGTACCTGGGTGGGGAGTAAATGTCTCAGGGTCTGTCCCTGGTGGCCGTGAGGCTGTACCAGCAGCAGCAGCAGCAGCAGCACAGAACGAAAACACAACATGACCAGTGGGCTTCTGTTCTCCATTATCAGCTTCTGTCCTCTCCTGGACTCAGACAACTCTGAGGAAAATGCATGGGGGGCAGGCAGCCTTGCACATTGTTGTTGGAGGTTTAAAGGTTGCCCTGGGGGGAAGGAGGGGGCTGAGAGACAGGGGCACTGACCCTGTGGCCCCTCTGAGGACTAATGGGAGGAGGGACAGAGTCCCTTCACTGTCCTCCCTCTCTCCCCCATTGCTGAGAATGTCTGTGAGCTGGGAGATGACACCCATTTCCCCTCTCCTCCTCTAGACCCTGACCTGGGTCCTCCTCCCTTCCGCCCAACTGGGAAGGCTGCCTCCACCAGCCTGAGGTCTAGTCCTACCCTGCTTCCCACAGCATCGTCCATCAGGACTAGAGCTGAGACATGGAATCCCAGATATCTAGGTGGGTGACTATGGACAAGTCATTCCACCCTTATGCCTGTAAAATATGAAAAATAATACCTTCTTTGTGGGTTGTTATGAAAGAGGATTAATTGAGATAATGCAAACACAGTGCCCGGTTACCTGCTTTGAGCTCCTCCCTCTGCTTTGAAGTGTTTTCTTAAGCCTCAGAATCAGGTTTTATAGGGAGGTATTGTCTGAGTGTGATTTTGTGGATCTGAAGAAGAATCCGCCCCCACACCGCTCCCAAAGAACTTCCCTTATCTATTTATTACAATGCTAGCCATCTACCAATAGCAATGCATCATCCTCTCCCTGACCCATTTTAAAATACAAATGTCTCCAAGAGAAGTAACATTTTGAGCCATTCAAGAATGTTAGGAAACAGAGCCTCCCCGGTGGCGCAGTGGTTGAGCGCTGGGTTGCGAAGCTGCCTGCGGCCTCTGCGGCGCCAGTTCGATCCAGTTCGATCCCCGGCTGCTCCCCGGCCACCTGAGGAGGGTCCCACATGGCGCGCAGACCTCCCCTGCCGCCCTCTGCTCCCCTCAGCAGTGTGCTTCGGTCCTTCTGCCTGCTCTGCTCCCTGCTCTGGCTCTGGTGAATTCTCTCACCCTCCCGTGTTTCTGACTGTACCCAGTGCATGTATAAACAAAACAAACAAACAAATAAATAAATAAAACATGCCTCTATTAAAAAAAAAAAAAATCTTAAAAAAAAAAAAAAAAGAATGTTAGGAAACAGCTTTCAGAGCTGGGAGTATAGGGGTCAGACCAGGTTTTGGGTGGACTTTAATGGATGAGAGGCCTGAAGGATAGAGCAGAAATCATTGCATATTTCAGTTAAAAAAAACATGGAGTGGGCCTCCCTGGTGCGGCAAAGGGTTAAGTTTCAGCACTGTCAAGCTATCTGCAGCCACTGCAGCATGAGTTTGATCCCTGGCCAGGGAGCTGACCCATATGGCGCAAAAGACCTCTCCTGTCTCTCCAGCTGCTCCCTGCAGCAGTGTATTTCAGGCAGTCTTCCTGTTCTGCTCCCCACTCTGTCTCTGGTGAATCCTCTCACCTCACTGCACCTCTGGCCTGTACCCAGCTTTTGTATGCATAAATAAATAAAATAAATCTTAAAAAAAAAAAATCTATGGAGTGACTTTTGAGCCATGGAATTTCTCCAGTGGAGGTTGGCACACGCAGATAACAGCGGGGCGGCCATGGCAGTCTAGCCTTGACCCCTGCTCAGTCACAAGACCCGCTGGCGGGGAGGAAGGGAAAAGGAAGGAGGTGTGTTTGGAGGCGGGGACGTGCCTGCTCTGCAAGCTGATTGGCTGGCTGGTGCGCGCCTGCAGGGGCAGAATTCGGAATTTAGGGGCCACAGGCGCAGTGGAGACCACCTTGACCGCCCATTAGCTCGACCCGGTGGTAGCCAGATCTCCGCTGCCGCTTCCCAGCCCAGGGCTTTTGGGATCCGAGTTAGTAGGCCCTTTAAGAGACCTCAGAGGTCTCTCCCCTAGGGTCCAGTTGCCCTTCGCTGCAGAACGGAAGTGGGGGTCCTGGACTTCGGTCCCAGGCGACGTTACGGAATGGCCTCCGTGAGGATCCGAGAGGCCAAGGAGGGAGACTGTGGAACTATCCTAAGAATGATTCGGGTGAAGGCTGCGGGCCGGGAACCGGGGTCCCAGAGGGGGTTAGCGGTGCGGCGGAGGAGGGGGTGGTTAAAAATGGGGGAAAGGGAGGAGATGAGAGCTGGGGTCTTGCTCCGGGAGGAGTGGGTTCCTCCTACCCTAATCGAGCCTTTGTTCCCACGCCGCAGGAACTAGCTGAGTACGAGAAACTCTCAGATCAGGTGAAGATCAGTGAAGAAGGTGGGGGCCGGCACCTGGGCCCTAATCAGACTGGGGAAGAAGTGAGGGTGGGATCCTCAGCATACTTCCAGCATGCGCGCTCACCCAGGACCTCTTTCTCTTTTTGTCACAACTCTGATCCCTGCAGCCCTGAGAGCAGATGGCTTTGGAGAGAACCCTTTCTTTCATTGTTTGGTAGCAGAGATTCTTCCTGCCCCAGGGGAACCACAAGGTAAGGATACTCAGGGGTCTCCTCTCCAGTCAGCCTCAGAAGTCTCTTCCCCAGGCTCCCAGCAGCCTGATTCCTTCTCTCTTTCTCTCTCCTCAGGGCCTTGCGTGGTGGGCTTTGGGCTGTATTACTTCATCTACAGCACGTGGAAGGGACGAAACATTTATCTGGAAGACATCTACGTGATGCCAGAATATCGGGGTACTAGGCAGAGGCTGGGGTGGGAAAAACAACTCATAGTTCATCCCCTGCCACCTTTTCTGATTTCCCTTCAACTCAAACAATCCCTTTTTGTCCCTTGACAGGTCAGGGGATTGGTTCCAAAATAATAAGAAAGGTGGCTGAGGTAAGAAGAGGAATATTTTCCCTACAACTGGGACCTGGAAAAATAAAGATTTATAGGAGGCACCCAGGTTAAAAGTGGGTGAGGACCCTTTTCCTTTTAACCGCAGGAAAGTGAGTGATGTCTTCTTCCACAGGTGGCCCTGGATAAGGGCTGCTCCCAGTTCCGCCTGGCAGTCCTTGACTGGAACAAGGGGGCCATGGACTTGTACAAGGCCCTGGGAGCCCAAGATCTGACTGAAGCTGAGGGCTGGCACTCCTTTCGTTTCGAAGCACAGGCGATGAGAGTGCTGGCTGGAAAGTGATGCTGTCCACCCCTTAGGGATCTCTGTGTTTCCCCACCACCTCAAACACTCCTCAGAGATCATGTCCACAGACATGAAAGAAGTGTTGGGAGAGGACTTGTTGGCAGTGAAAAATAAATGAGAAATACATCCTAATATGGTGTTGCCCAGATCAATTGATGATGCCATAAGCTTCAGCCTCTTTACAACCCTTCCAGAATGTTCTGGTCAGGAGGCCAAGAAGGGAGACTGTGGAACTATCCTGAGAATGATTCAGGTGAAGGATGTGCAAGGGGTTAACAATATATCATATCATACTTACTATGAAGCAATCCGCAGCTTCAGCAGCACGAGTTTGATCCCCGGCCGGCCAGGGAGCTACCCACTTGGTGCAGCAGACCTCTCCTGACTCGCCTGCTGCTCCCCTCAGCAGTGTACTTTGGTCAGTCTGCCTGTTCTGTTCCCCACTCTGTCTCTGGTGAATCCTCTCACCTCCCACATCTCTGACCTATACCCCAGCTCTTGTATGCGTAAATAAATAAATCTAAAAAAAAAAAAAGAATGTTCTGGTCAGTGGATGTAGTCCCTGGGGTAAAGGTGGGCCCAAGCTTTGGCTTGTGAAATACAGAGAAAAGAAGAACAAGGAGTCAACGTGGCATATCAGGGTTGTTGATCTGGTTTGGGTCCCTGACTCAAGCCTCCAATGTTTGTACTGAGATGTATAGGATCTAAGATGCAGGCAGTTCCTTCAACCTACTCAACAGATGGAGGAGGCTGCCACCTAGTGGTGGCATATCAGTGGCACGTGGAAGGACCACTTGCCCCAACTTTTTTCTTTTTTCACTTTTGAATACCTAACAATCTCAGGATTTTTTTTTAATTAATATTTTATTTTATATAATTTTTACATCATTTTTCATTTTGCACAATGTATGCATTTTCATTTTGGTCATATTCCCCATATAATTGCACCCCCCCTTATTTTGACCCTATTCCTTCCTCTCCCTGCCCCCATATTAAAGACTAATAAATACAAAGGAAAAATCAAAATCAACAAGCAATTGTCCCAACTTTTTTTTTTTAAAGATTTATTTATTTATTCAAGATTGATTGATTGATTTATACAAACACTGGGTACAGTCAGAAGCGCAGGAGGGTGAGAGAATTCACCAGAGCCAGGGCGGGGAGCAGAGCAGGTAGAAGGACCAAAGTACACTGCTGAGGGGAGCAGCGGGGGTCAGGAGAGGTCTGCGTGCCATGTGGGACCCTCCTCCCGTCGGGGAGCAGCACCGGCGCCGCAGAGGCCGCGGGCAGCCTCGCAACCCAGCGCTGCGCCACCGGGGAGGCCCTGCCCAAACTTTTAAAAGTCATCTCAACCACTTACTGTTTTTTCTACTTCAAAAGTCACAAAGTCTTTATTTTCACTTTCAACTAAATCTTTAGGGCCCATGCAGACAGAAAGAGAAACAGGGGCAAGTCCTACTTTGATAATATTTTTTACACAAGTAAAGCAGATTTGTTGTAAAAAATCAGAAGATATAAAATTAGAATCCATAGCCTTATTTTTTTTCAAGATTTATTTATTTATGCATACAAGAGCTGGGGTGCAAGCCAGAGATGCGGGGGGGCGGGGTGGTGAGACCAAGTGGAGAGCAAACCAAGTGAAGCAGGCAGATCTACTGAAATACACTGCTGAGGAGAGCAGCAGGTGAGACGGGAGAGGTCTGCTGTGCCATGTGGGTCACCTCCCTGTCCAGGGATGGAACTCATGCTTCAGTGGCTGCCGATAGCTTCCTAGTGCTGAGACTTAACCCCTTGCACCACCAGGGGGGCCCAGAATCCATAGTCTTATTTACATAATTACTGCTAAATCTTTGCTGTCAGTTCTTCAGACTTTTCCAATGTATATAACTATGTATAATTAATTAAGTGGGTAGGAGTTGATGGAATCATACTCTTGCAACCTGCTGTTTTCATGAAACAATATATCATATACATCTTCCTATGCTACTAAACATACCTCTGTCATCACTTTGTATATTTTGAAAATTTACTTTTGTTTATGTATACAAGAATTGGGGTGTAGGTCAGAGGTACGGGGAAGAGAGGATTCACCAGAGACAGTGGTGAGCAGAACAGACGGATCTACTGAAATACACTGCTGAGGGGAGCAGCGAGCGAGACTGGAGAGGTCTGCTGCGCCATGTGGGTCAGCTCCCTGGCCCGGGATCAAATGCATGCCAAGTGGCTGGCAATAGCTTGATAGTGCTGAGACTTTAATCCTTACGCCACCAGGGAGGCCCTGGCAGCCCTTTAAATACTGAGTTAGTTGAAAATTATATCATGGACCCAAATCATTTCTCAGTGTACAATTTTCTTTAGAGTTAATTTTCTCGGATAGTTTTTTTTTTTTAATTTTTTTTTAAGAGGCATGTATTATTTATTTATTTGTTTGTTTGTTTTTTTTTTTTTTTTTTTTTAGAGGCATGTTTTTCTTTTTATTTATTTGTTTGCTTGTTTTGTTTATACATGCACTGGGTACAGTCAGAAGCGCAGGAGGGTGAGAGAATTCACCAGAGCCAGAGCGGGGAGCAGAGCAGGCAGAAGGACCGAAGTACACTGCTGAGGGGAGCAGCGGGCGGCAGGAGAGGTCTGCGTGCCATGTGGGACCCTCCTCCGGTGGCTGGGGAGCAGCCGGGGATCGAACCGGCGCCACAGAGGCCGCGGGCAGCTTCGCAACCCAGCACTCAACCGCTGCGCCACCAGGGAGGCCCAGTTTTTTTTGTTTTTTTTAAGATTTATTTATTTATTTATACAAGAACAGGGTACAGGCCAGATGTGCGGGAGGGTGAGAGGATTCACCAGAAACACACCGGGGAACAGAACAGGCAGACTGACGAAATACACTGCTGAGGGGAGCAGTGGCAAGACCGGAGAGGTCTGCATGCCATGTGGGACCCTCGCTGGCCGGCTGGGATCAAACTGGCGCTGCAGAGGCTGCGAACAGCTTCACAGCATGGCGCTTAACCACCTGCTCCACCAGGGGAGGCCCTTCTCTGATAGTTTTATCTATAACTAACATACTCATGATGCCCACATCGACCTCTCTAGCCCGGACCTCTCCTGGGCCACACACCTGAGTGTCCATTGACTAGGAAGACATCGATTCCTTCATTAAGTTATTATTTGCCATTCCAGGAACTGTGGTAGTCACTGGCTATCCAGTGGTGGGGACAAACAAACATAGAACTTAGTCTAATTTCACAGAACTTACAGTATGACAGCAGAAGAAAGATACTGGACATATAATAATTACATATAGTACATGTAATTATTAATATTACATCATGAGGGCCTCCCTGGTGGCACAGGGGATTAAGCACCACACCATGAAGCAATCCACAGCCTCTGCAGCACAAGTTTGATCCCTGGCTGGCCAGGGAGAAACCCACATGGTGAGGCAGATCTCTCCTGTCTCGCCCACTGCTCCCTTCAGCAGTGTATTTCAGTCAATCTGCTTGTTTTGTTCCTCATTCTGTCTCTGGTGGATCCTCTCACCCCCCACATCTCTGGCCTGTACCCTAGCTCTTGTATGCATAAATAAAATAAATCTTTTTTAAAAAAATAAGGTCCTTTGGCAGTGTGTGGCAGGAGATCTAATCAGTGTGGGCATAGTTGAAGGCTAAAGAAATTATATTTAAGTTATGACCTGAGGGCCTCCCTGGTGCTGCAAGAATACAGCCTATGAAGCTGTCCACAGCCACTACAGCACAAGTTCGATCCCTGGCCAGGGAGCTACCCACATGGTGCAGTAGACCTCTCCTGACTTGCCCACTGCTCCCCTCAGCAGTGTATTTCGGTCGCTCTGCCGTTTGTGTTCCCCACTCTGTCTCTGGTGAGTCCTCTCACCCCCCCCACTTCTGGCCTACACCCCAGCTCTTGTATAAATAAAATAAATCTTTAAGTTATGACCTGAAAGAGAAGTTTACTGAAGAGAAGGGATCATATCCACCTGAACAGTGTATTTTTAAAAAAGATTTATTTATTTATACAAAACTGGGGTACAGGCCAGATGTGTGGGAGGGTGAGAGGATACACCAGAGACAGAGTGAGGAACAGAACAGGCAGACTGACGAAATACACTGCTGAGGGGAGCAGCTGGCGAGACAGGAGAGGTCTGCGGCGCCATGTGGGACCCTCGCCGGCCGGCTGGGATTGAACTGGCGCTGCAGAGGCTGTTGACAGCTTCACAGCGCTGTGCTCATGCGCCTGCGCCACCAGGGGAGGCCCCTGGTGAATTTTTAATAAAACCAAACTCAACTCATCAATTTCACCAAACCCTTGTCTCCTTTGTTCTCTCATCCCTGATTAGAATCATCTGTCACTAAGTAAACAAAACTGGGTATTGTCCTGTGTATCTTCCACTTCTTTGATGGTTCCTATCCTCACCCACCCTCATCATCAATTCTTGTTGAATCTACTACAAATTTAACAGACTCAAGTCAGTTTGTACCACCCTTGCCGACAGTCAGGAAGACTGCCTTGGGAACCACCCTTAACTATTCAATCTGGTTTGCTTTTTATTTATTTATGCATATAAGACCTGGGGTACAGGCTAGAGGTGCGGGAAGTGATAGGGTTCACCAGGGACAGAGTGGGGAACAGAACAGGCAGACTGACTAAAATACACTGCTGAGGGGAGCAACAGGCAAGACAGGAGAGGTCTGCTGCACCATGTGGGTCAGCTCCCTGGCATGCTGAGGATCAACCTCATGCTGCAGAGGCTGGGGACAGCTTCACAGTGTTGTGCTCAACCCTGTGCCATCAGGAACGCCCAACTATTCAACCTGTTCTTCAGTCTCATAAAATACAAAGCTTATCACATTATACTCAGTGGCTTCCTACAGCTCTCTACTTTAAATCAAATGCTATTGAACTAGTTGTGGTTTCCCAAAAGACATGCTCTTTCTGCTACTCTGCATCATTGTATTCCTTGTTTCCTCAAGAATACTTTTATTGCACTTTTCCTCTAGTGAGCTCCCATTGATCCTTCACATTTCAATTTGCATCACCTCTGCAGTGGTCTCCCTAACCACTCTGAAGGCTAACCATTGTCTCCTGGGGATTCCCTCTATTCCTAGCCCTCATCTCTACCATATCTTCAAACAACTCTATGCTCTTATTTAACTTATTTGTTTGAACTTATTTTTTAATCATCTGACCCTTTCCCAATATATTATAAATTCCTTGAGATCAGGAAACACGCCTTGTCTTTGTATCCCTCGCAGTTAGAATGTGACTGAAGGGGCCTCCCTCCCTGGTGGTGCAAGGGGTTGAGCGTCAGCACTACGAAGCTATCCTACCTGAGCCACTGCAGCACGAGTTCGATTCCTGGCCAGGGAGGTGACCCATATGGCACAGCAGATCTCTCCTGTCTCATCAGACCTCTCCTGTCTCATTAGACCTTTTCTGTCTCATCCGCTGCTCCCCCCAGCAATGTATTTCAGTAGATCCGCCTGTTCTGCTCCCCACTCTATCTCTGGTGAATCCTCTCACCCCACCGCACCTCTGGCCTGCACCCCAGCTCTTGTATGCATAAATAAATAAATCTTAAAAAGAATAGTAACTGGAACACAGTGAGGGCTAAATAAATACTTGCTAAATGATTACATGCTAAATGATTCTAGTGCATTTAATTCACGTCTACCTAAGTTTCTTGCTTATATCAGTTCAAGAAACCTAGCCTTTCCTTCTAATTCCACAAAAT